GCCAAAAACATTTTATTTTTTTTTTTGAAATTATTTCGTGCAGAGGCGGCACGAGCAAAAGCCTAATATTGTCACTTGAACTAATCAAATTAAATTGTTGAGTCACGCATTTTGGTGACATAATTGCATAGACATATGGCCGTAAAGGGCAGATGTAATAAGTTTGTTTGTTTCAATCGGAACAAGCGTGTAATCGAAACCATTTTCGCTTGTATTGTATTATACCAAATCAGACAAATTGTTTTTTTTTCTAGGTTGCAATAAGTGACCGGCTTCTTAGTAGCAGGAGTAAGAAAAAGAATGCAGTCCTGCAACGGACTCCGGTTCAAAGTAACAATTCAAGGCCGATTTTCAACCACACCTTCAAGTTTTCGAAACTACCTGCGGACACTAGGAAACGGATTCACCTTGAAATTTGGCACAGGGATAGGAACAATATGTGAGTATGATATCGAACCCAATCGATTAAATTTTATTTAGGGAATTAAAACGAATATTTCCCTAAAATAGTTGAATGCAATTCTGGCAAAGTAACAAAATTTTCAAATAAACTGTTTCCCCCAAGCTCCATTATCCTATTCCAAACCGACATCCAGATAACCATCAGCAGCAGCAGGAAGAAATTTTTGGCGCAAAATTTTGCAACGTTGTTACTTCCATTTGCCTGCTGAAGCAACAAATCCTGGAAATTTTCATGTGGCAACGCAGCACTTCCAGTTGCGCATTCCTCCTCTTCCTGGATCGATTTGGAGAAAGCGCACGTGGACCAGCGGAAAACGATGGCGCGTCAGCAACGGGAGAAACTCGTTTTTTTTTTTCCGCCTGGCGTGCGGTCGCTTTCGTGGGGAAAAGATGAGGCGGATTACGTGGAGGCAACTTTTGCGGGAGAAACAATGCCGGTAGATTTGATATGGCAAAGCCCAGTGTTGCCAGGATTTATCCGAATTTTCATGTCTGATGTTACAAATTTTTTCTTATTAAAATCATCTCTATATATTTCCTCCAAAGTTTGGTCTTTGGTTTAGATACTATAAGGAACTACCTGCTAAATTTTTGTATTATGAAACTTCCTCTACTTCTTATTAATATCAGTTGACGAATACTTCCTACAACTTCTTTTGAACATAATTCAATTTCCACAAACTTCCTTTGCACTTCTTCAGATGGAAACCAAAAGTTCTAAGCATTCAGTTTTAAAGGCGTTGATGATTCTGAAGATACTGAAGACTTGAGTTTCAAAATTCCAGAATGTTAAATCCACTGAATATTCATACAGATTGAAGTCTTCGAAGATTCAAAAGATGCTAAAAACTTCAAAGATTCAAGATCTCTTGATCTTAAACCTCTTTTAAGATTCTTGAAGACTTAAAATTGACCCTTTTTCTGAGATCTTAGCTCCACTGAATATTCTGACATTGAGTTCTTCGAAGATTATAAAGATGTTGAAACTTTAAAGATCTTTTGATGCGAAGACAATGATAAATTTTAAAGCTGAAGAGTCAAAATTCAAAACTTCGAAAGCATTGAGGTCTCATGAGAATCCTGCTTCTTCGTTTTGAGAATCAGGCCTCAAATATAAGAGGGGTTTTATTAAAGTTTGTGGAAATCGAGGGCAGACCAAGGATAGTTCTTATGGAAAAAGATCCTTATCAATAATTGATAAGCTCCGTTAATTTTCATACAATTTCAATATTATTAAGCTCTTAAGACAATTAGATTCTTTAGAAAGCTATTAATTGAGATTTCAATTTGGTTTCAATAGTTTCGCACCTGAGAAGCTTCAAAATTGAATTTACCGAACATGTAATTTCTTGGAAATTTGAGTTTTTCCAAAATGACGTGTCGATGTCATACAACCACGTCAACCACGTCAACCACAGATCATACAACTTTGAATTGTGACATGCGTATGAATAATGAATAATAATTCTTCATAAGATGAGCAATAGTATATTACATGCGGAGGTGAAACGTGTTTCATTATTGTCGAGAGATACTGTGGTTGACCGAGGTGCGAAGCGCCGAGGTCAATCAATTCTCGAAACAATAATATCGAAACAATAATGTGTGTTTCCACCGAATTATGTATACTATTTTATTTTGTTATTAATTATTGAACAAAAAAGGTAAAAATATGAGAAATTGGAATTTCGACCGACACTCTGACACCGATATTGACATCTTATGAAATTTCAACAATATAAACACATGTGACATCTACTCTGAATACAAACCTGCATTTATGTTTAAGTCTGAAAGAAAAATTTATCAGGCCGAAAGTGAGTTCCCCAGGCCGAAAGTGACAGAAGAACTGTCACTTTCGGCACGCTTTAAAGTAAACAAAAGTAAAGTGACATTTTCGAACCAGTAAGAAATGTGAATATTACCTTTATGGTTTAAAATAATAGCATACTACATGACAAGGTGGAAAGCGTTTCATTATTGTCGAGACATACTGTGGTTGACCGAGGTGCGAAGCGCCGAGTTCAATTAATTCTCGAAACAATAATATCGAAACAATAATGTGTGTTTCCACCGAATTATGTATACTATTTTATTTTGTACCATTAATTATTGAACAAAAAAGGTAAAAATATGAGAAATTGGAATTTCGACCGACACTCTGACACCGATATTGACATCTTATGAAATTTCAACAATATAAACACATGTGACATCTACTCTGAATACAAACCTGCATTTATGTTTAAGTCTGAAAGAAAAATTTATCAGGCCGAAAGTGAGTTCCCCAGGCCGAAAGTGACAGAAGAACTGTCACTTTCGGCCCGCTTTAAAGTAAACAAAACTGAAGTGACATTTTCGAACCAGTAAGAAATGTGAATATTACTTTTATGGTTTAAAATAATAGCATACTACATGACAAAGTGGAAAGTGTTTCATTATTGTCGAGACATATTGTGGTTGACCGAGGTGCGAAGCGCCGAGGTCAACCAATTCTCTAGACATATACAATGTGTCCACTTACGTTCGCAGCATATGGCAAACTTTTTTGTTATCAATTTTACGAAAAAAAGTTATTCTTTATAAAAGTTTCTGCTTCTTGAAAAAATAATATTAAACTAATAAAACTTGAAATAGCATGTACAGGGTGGTCAAAAAATGGAAAAATATACAGGGTGTTTCCTAAGTAAGGTTCCTAACTTCAGGATGTGATTCCTTATAATATTTTAAGAAAAAAAGTTCCCAAGAAGATGGATCCGGAAATGCGTAGTTTCTGAGATACAGGATGTCAAAGTTTTAGAAAAAAACGTTTTTTCAGCTCAAAAATCCTTTTTCCAATTTTTTTTTCAATTTTGGTAGGTTTGTTCGTGATAACGAAAGGTATTTTTGACTTGATTAATCTGAAAAAAATATCAAAGATTTAAAAAAATAGTGACGTGATATTTTTTATTTCTACTTTCAGCAAAAAATCCTGTATAATATTCTATTTTCTGACCACCCTGTACATGTTATTTCAAGTTTCAATAGTTTAATACTGTTTTTTGAAGAAGCGGAAACTTTTATAAAGAATAACTTTTTTTCGTAAAATTGATAATAAAAAAGTTTCCCATATGCTGCGAACTTAAGTGGACATACTGTATATTATGAAAACTTTCTACCGAAATATACACAATATTTTATTTTGAACCATTAATTATTGGAAAAGAATAAGGTGAAAATATCACAAATATGGAATTTTGACTAACACTCTAATACTGACATTGACATCTTATGAAATTTCAACAATATAAACACATGTGACGTCGACTTCTAAATACAAACATTGCACCTGGATTTGTGTTCAGGTGTGAAAGAACAATTTAATAGTATACATAAATCGGTGGAAAGTTTTCACATTATTGTCTCGAGAATTGGTTGACCTCGGCGCTTCGCACCTCGGTCAATCATAGTATCTCTCGACAATGATGAAACACTTTTCACCTCCGCATGTAAAATACTATTATCAGGGCCAAAAATGAGTTCTCCAGGCCGAAAGTGACAGGAGAACAGTAACTTTCGGCCTGCTTTAAAGTAAACAAAAGTAAAGTGACATTTTCGAACCTTCAAACCAGTAAGGAATGCATTAATTACATACAGGGTGGGTTATGAAAAACTTTCCACCCAGGTTTAGGTGATTAATTAAAAATCGCTCGAACACGTCAATTATTGTTTTTTGGGGGACACATTTTGTTGGTATGTCAACCTTTAAGTGGGAGTGACAGGTACCCCCAAAATATTAAATGAAAAGGGGGGGTCGAGTGATGCGTCATTTGATAGCTATTTTCATTAAGATTATATTTCCGAAGTTTTAAGTTGCTACTATTTACCCTGTCGAAATGGCGGTTTGTCAAAGTTGGGAGAAATCAATGGAAAAATACTGTGTGATTTTTACCTGTTACCTACGCATAGGTGTGACAGGTGAAAACTATACAGTTCGGATTATCGAAAAAAAGCATTCATCCTAACTTTGACATGCCGCCATTTCGGCAGGGTAAATAGTAGCAACTTAAAACTTCGGGGATATAATCTTAATGAAAATAGCTACCAAATGATGTATCACTCGACCCCCCTTTTCATTTGAAATTTTAGGCCACCCCCACTTAAAGGTTGACAGGTAGGGGGTGAAAATACCAATAAAATGTGTCCCCCAAAAAACAAAAATTGACGTGTTCGAGCGATTTTTAATTAATCACCTAACACCTGAGAAAACCTGGGTAGGAAGTTTTTCGTGCCCACCCTGTATATGGTTCAAAATAAAATTTATTATTGGTAGCTCACGCATTCTCTGAGTTATATTGAGTTTCAAAGAGTAATTTCAGTTAAAATTTTGCTCAAATTAATTTGCTGGAGTTTACAAAAACCAGAAAAAAATTATATCATTCAACATTTAGCCAAGTTTTATTTCCTTTTTCCATATTCTCTGACAACACTGTACGGATTTTCGTGAATCTAGGGCCAGAAAGATAGCAGACCTTCTGTCCTGCTGTGGAAACTCTTCTGTGGATGACGTAGTCGTGGATTTTAGTTCCGTGTACGTAGTTTTCCCCGTTAATTAGTCCAAAAAAAAAGGTGTCGTCGTTGCTCGATTAATCATTCAGTAGTGAGACGTTAAAATGTGATTATAGTGATTTAAATAATTATTTAATGTGGTTCAGAGTTGCTGGTTATGGGTTAGGGAAAATTCTCGCTCAACAATTTAGAGCAAATAAACGTGGTGAGTTTTTTTGAATCGTAATTGATGAATCAACTTTTTTTTTGAATGAAATTGTGTCTCATTTGTGTCAAATTAGTTTCATCCAGCCAGAAATAGTGACAACCTGCAAAATTTTGAATAATTTTTTGATACTTATAGAGGATTGAGACAATTCTAACCCAAACTTGGGGATTAAACTCAGCATTTTTCCCTAGCATGGAAACAGCAACTCCATTTCCTTATCCCCAACTATTCTCCCAAAAACCAAAAAATCAATCTTCCAAAGGAAATCTTACATAATCTTAAGGCTATACGATGTTAAAATATTGTCCACGTGTACAACTTACCCTATTTCGAATCACATCTTAAACATCGGCACAGTAGACAGACAGACAGGGGCATAAAAAGCGGTTTCTCCCTTGTTTGACCTGTATTTTTTTTTTCCTTCGATCGTGGACACCCAAGGGGGTTCTTATTCTTTTGAAAAAATATATCCTCAGAGTCGTACCATTGGTTGGCAACCGTTTTATAATATTTCCTGCGTCCTTTCTGTCATAAAGACAATTAACTTTAATTTGAGGACACAATGAAGAAAAAAAAAATCGTTAAGTCTCCCACGAAACCCTTAAAAGACACTTTCAACTTTTGACCGGAATTAGTTTTGATCACAATCAAAGTCAGTGGACCAAGGAAAAAGTATCCTCACCCTTATTGTCATGCTACTTCAATTTGATTTTGTAGTCAAAGATAAAGTATATAAGTGGTCCTTCATATGCCTATAAAAGGCAAAACACCCTATATACAAATCATTATGATTTTAGTGGCCACCCGCATTTCAAAGGTGCAATTATTGATGGATTGCAACCCCTATTTTCGTCCGGTTATTAATGGATTTGTATCACAAAAGTCCAAATTCGCTCTGTATATACGAATATTTTACCACGTGTACACTTACAACCCCCTTAAATATCGCTTTAAATATTTGATTGTTACCTCGAGAGGCTCGTTGACGTTCAATCTCCCCTAAAATTAATTGATTATTTTGTTGTTTGTTCCAGGTCCAGCGATTTTTTGGGATGCATGTCGTTCGACGTACAAGATGCCTACAATAATAAGGTGAGAATTTGTGGTTTAATTGAAAATATAATTTTTCTGCCATAAAACTAGTGCCTAATTGTTCTTCCGCTTTTCCTGTGTGACGGAAATTAAATCCCTTTTCAAATATACGTCCAGTCTGGAAAATAAATTGAGTGTTTCCATCATCACTCTGGATTTTAATTAAAAAATTGATGCTGCAAGAGGCGTAATGAGTGTTTTCTTTTTGGTTGTTGTATTTCGCTACTTTCAGTAATTATTCATTTCGATAATGAAAGATAACCTAACTGCCTTTGTATAGTCTATATGAAAATTATAGTTTCAAAATCAATTGAACATTTTCACTTTTCCGTTTTAGAGCAATTTTATCAGATTATGCTTTTGCTTGGCTTCACAAATATCCAATAAACACTAATATTTTGCTATTGGAAAACTAGGTCACATTTTCCCAATCTCGCCTGTATAAAACTCACCTATAGCAATAAATTCAAAGAGACACAAAATCGATTTTCATAGTACACAATAAAAACGAATCATGCACTTTGCAGTATTATTTTTTCATTCTGAATGTCTTTAAAAGTAACGATAAGAGATTTTTCGTGTCTTATTTATGTGTAACTTTCTGGCAAAAGTTCTTTTTGGAAAAATGCCAACTTGACTAAAACGATTGGAAAAAAAGATATTAATCATCGATGTTCAAAAAAAGATCATTAATAATAAAATTTGATAGATTATCGAGGGTTCCTACCGATTGCTCCCTCAATCAGAAGGACGTCTGACTCATTTACTTTCAATCAATGACCTTATGGAACCTGATCAGGTCAGCATGGGCGAAAACAATCAAGATGACAGCGTCATCGAAGAAATACTCAGTCTGGATGGTGTTGAAACTGAATTGAAACGGTAAGAAATCAGTAATAATTGGTGATGTTGAATTAAAAGATGAATTATTGTTGTAGATCAACGAATAAACAAATTTTAAGCGAACAACAAAAATATGCAGACGAACATTTGTTCCTACGCTATCTGGAACTGGATCCCATTGAAGGTCCAGACGCTGTTCCAGCTGCTATGCAACGAAGAGCAACTGGCAATAAATTTGGCAGGTAATAATGATGAATTTATCAAGTAATTCCCTACTTTACAATTTAGTATCCAAGTCTTCTATTAGGTATATTGAAATTGATTTTCAAAGATAACAGGGCTGGCAAAAACCCAGGGGTTTTTAGAAATTTCAATTGGGTTTTTGGGTTTTAATAGGGTATTTGTGTTTACTTAACTACAAAAAATTGTATATTTATTTCAACTTTCAACAGTTTTGGACTTCTCAGGTGCAAAACTAGCAACGTACAACTTTGAAAATTTTCCAAAAATGACACTGAGTCAGTTTTTGCTTCATAGCTGTATCAATGTTCATCTGATTTCGATGTAGTTTAATTGCACTCAATTAAATTCTCTACAAACCTATCAATCAAGATTTTGATTTATGTTCAACAGCTTTGCACCTGAAACTTTGAAAGGTCATTACTTTTTTTCTATCAAAGATATAAAGCTGAAATTTTCAGCGATTCTTATTCCAGTAGAGGACTAAAATTTAAAAAAAAATTCAACTCATTTGGACAACAAAATTTGCCGAATTGTTAATTATCTATTCTTTTTGGTTAAAATAACCTATACTGTTTCTTTGAGTGTGTAGCAACTTTTGGTTCTTGGTGTAATCTCGATTTTTTCACGTTTTTAGATAAAAATTATAAAGAATCCATTTATTGTCCGTCGTTTTTAATCTGACAGTTTCCGTATGAGGAGCGAGGGGATAAAGCTTATGGCAAAAACAAGTGTGACGTCAGGTGGCCATAGGCGTTCTAATTTAGGGAGCCACCAGCTCAAATTCCTTTGGAGTATCAGATTAAAATCGACATACTTTAGTTCGGCTCTGTTCAAGTAGCCATATTGTTCCTACACTTATCCACGCCTATCGATTTCCGTATCTAGTGCACTATTCAAATGATAACAGCTTCTCATTATTTCTACCTCATTGATTAGGATAAACGTTCAACTTATTGAAAAGTAGGTGGGCCACTGGAAATTACCGTTCTAGAACGGTTCTCATGTCGGGTTGGAACAGAGCTATAGTCTCACTCAATACATAAGTTAGGTTTTCAGGGCGGGTATTATAAAACTATTTTGACAGAATAACTAAAATTCAACTTCTGGAATGTCGTTAGAGGCAGACAGATAGATGAATGAGTTGCACCGGTGCACATTTCTTGATTATTTTGGGAATACGGGTCTTGTTTACACCACTGATGTAGCCCTACCATGACCCTTCCTCGAGCAGCTGACCTCTTCCGGCTCATGGGGGTCTTGTCATCACAACAACCATCGATTTATGAACATTTTATGAATGAGATGTGGTGTCTATCTGTGTTGAGATATCATTGGATTGATCTATTTTTCATTGAAAAAAAATTATACCCACATGTGCTGTCATCAAATATATTTTTTCTATAACTGTCAAAAAATTATGATGTTCGCACACTCATGACAGTTTGAGAAGTGACCCTTTTTTCCCAGGTATTGATTTTTTAACGTTCCCATGACGCCGTGCGCGAACTAGCTATTTCGCACACTAGTGCGCGAAATAGCTAGTTCGCATACTGGTGTCATGGTGACACCATACCTATCAGGAAACCAAAAATAATTAAAATTCAATTACCTTTGATTGAAAATGCAATTTTGGCTTCGAATGATTGATATTTAAATGGAGTTGTAGAAAAAATATTGTTTACAACTCGGGCGCGAATAGCATTTCGCGCACTAGATACAAAAATAACTATTTCTTCGCTTTTGCCTTAGCGGCGCTTAGAGGGCGCCGGATAGAAGTCTCCCCCCCTAGGGAAAGTCATATCGCTACTGTCCTGGCCAACTCCCAACTCACTTTAAAAAATCACAAAAAAAAGTTTGGAGCAGGTAATTTATTTGTGGGTAATTCATCAACTTTTATAGAATACCTACATAAAAAACAGAAAACGTATAATTAACTTATGATTAATTTGCCGATATCGATTAGTAGGAATGTTTTACTTAAATATGTAAATGCAGTAACAAATTCCATTCAGATTGAAGCTCTACTAGGTATCTAACTTATTTTTCTACCGTGTCCATACGTATTTTTCTATTTTTTATTTAGTCCATAGAGTCGGCCAAGTCCTTCTGACTTTTGAGGGATACCTATTAGGTGATCTTGGCCGTTTCCACCAACTAATTTGGGGGAGCCCTAACGATAAGTATTCCTCAAACTGACATTTCTCCATGGAAGACTGTCATTTTAAGGAATACTTATCGTTAAGGCTCCCCTGAAATAGTTGGTGAAACGGCCACTAGTCTTTCTTCTCCCATAGATGTACGTGAATAATTTTTTATGAATTAGTTAGCTGAATTTTTGCTCATTGGTTGCTACTCAAGGTGAGTTTGGCTTGGCAAAACGGAGTTGGAACAGATAGAGAGCTGTTCCATAGCCACGTGATCACAGAGTGAAAAGAGTAAAGCGATTTTTTGAAATAAAATGACTTATTTTCAATGAAACACCCTGTATCTTTTGTCATCGTCAGAAAGCCTGATTTTTCTACTTTTTATGTATGTATAATTTTTTTCAATTATCTTGAATCTGCATCGTGAAAATTGCACTTTGTCGAAGGGAATGTTATCGACTAACCAAAAAAAAAAAAATTGAGAATTAATTTGTGTTTAATACTTTTATTAACTAATTAGCGCATAGTTAACTAATAATACAAGTATTAAACACAAATAAGTGCATATAAAACACAAATTAATAATTATCATTTTTTTTTTTGGCCAGTCGATGTTATGCTCTTCAACCAAGTGCAATTTTTACGATTCAATTTCATGATAATTGAAAAAAATTATACATTTTTGTGAAGTAGAAAAGTCACGCATTCTGAGAATGACAAAATATGCTGGGTGTTTCGTTAAGAATAAGGCAGTATGTAATTATTTCAAAAAATCGAAAGTCTGTAAAACCAAGTTTCAGGATTCGTCAATGCAATGAAAAAAAAAATTAAAAAAATCCTCATTCTTCCAGAACAAACCGCATCCCGTTATCTTTTCTTCTTTTCGAGATATTCACCTCTAAAATGTGTCAGTTTATCTAAGGACAACCTGTAGTACTGAGGTTCGAAGGCTAAGTTTTTTATTATAGTTTTTGTTCCACTTCACAATTCCCTAATTTCTTGTAAAAGTTTTTTTAGTGATTTATTATTTATAAGATTTAAAACTTGCAGTATAGCAAGACACGCCTCTAAATTTTTGAATTTTTCGTTGACTTTGTTTCTAAGTTTTTTTTCCCTTGGCTCTATTTTCTCTAGTTTCAATTATTTCTTTATTTTTAATTTTTTTCTTTGACTCTGCTTCTTTTCTGCTCCTCTATGAACTTTCTTTTTCCTCCTTCAATTTGTAAATTTTTTATTTTATTATTTTTTTCACTCATTCTGTCTTTGCTTCCTCATTCATGCTTTTTTTCCTGCTCTGTTTCCAGATATTTTCATTGGGATTTCCCACGTTTTTTTTTTTATAATTTCATAACTTTTTTCACTTTTTCTTTGCTTTTTATAACTCTTTTGTTTTTTCCATGCTTTTTTTTCAGGCTTTTTCGCATCTTATAATTTTCTCTGGAACTTGATTCACTGGAAACATTTTTGGACTATTCTCTGGTTTCTGATTCGCTGGAAAATTGCTCTAGAATAGCAATCAAGAGCCGGTAATGGTCCATATTTTGATTATTATCAGGTCTTGGAAGTTACTGTAGTATTTTTCCAGGTGAATTCAGAACCATTAATATTCAAAATTTGAACTATTACCGACACTCAATTCGCTGGAAAATTTCAAAAGTTGGGATTATTATCAGTTCTCCATTCACTGGAAAATTGCTCTAGGAGCAAACAAGAACCAATAATAGTTCAAATTACCAGCTCTCGATTTGCTGAAAAATTGCTCTAGAGTAGCAATCAAAAGCCAGTAATAGTCCATATTATTTTGATTTATTATCGGCTCTTGGCTGTTACTGTAGTATTTTTCTAGGTGAATCCAGAACCAGTAATATTCAAAATTTGAACTATTACCGGCACTCAATTCGCTGGAAAATTTCAAAAGTTGGGATTATTATCAGTTCTCCATTCACTTGAAAATTTCTCTAGGAGCAAACAAAAACCAATAATAATTCAAATTACCAGCTCTCGATTCGCTGAAAAATTGCTCTAGAGTAGCAATCAAGAGCCAGTAATAGCTCATATTTTGATTATCATCGGCTCTTGGCTGTTACTGTAGCATCTTTCCAACAAATTCAATGCCAGTATTCATAATTTGAACTATTACAGGCCCTAGATTCGCTGCAGATTTTCAAAACTTGGGAGCATTACCAGTTCTCTATTCACTGGAAAACTGCTCTAGGAGCAAACAAGAACCAATAATAGTCTAAATTATCGGCTCTTGATTCATTAGAAAATTGCTGTAGGGCAATCAAAAGTCGACATAATCCAAATTATGATTTTCTCTGGATCTTGATTCATTGGGGAAAGGTTTGAACTATTCCTTGGCTTCCGATTCACTCGAAAATTGCTCTAATAGCAATCATTGCTTTGGAGAAGAAAACACAAATTAAAGAGTCAGGAATAGACAAACATTGAGGAGAACAAATGTGGAAGAAACTTTAATAATAATTGAGAAATGGTAATAGGAAATTGAGGAGAACTTGAGGAGAGTTGTTGAAGGAAGAGTACGAATTTGAATATTTTCTCTATTCCAGGATGTTGAATACAACTCATTTAAAAAAATTTGAAAAGAAAACCCAAATTTAAGAGCCAGGAATAAACAAATACCTATTGAGGAGAACAAATAGGGAAGAAGCTTTAACAATAATTGAGAAATGGTAATAGGAAATTGTGGAGAACTTGAGGAGAGTTGTTGAAGAGTATGAATTTGAATATTTTCTCTATTCCAGGCTCTTGAATACAACTTATTTAGAGAAATTCGAAAAGAAAACCCTAATTCAAGAGCCAGGAATAGACAAATATTGAGGAGAACAAATAATAGGGAAGAAACTTTATTAATAATTGAGAAATGGAAACAGGAAATTGAGGAAAACTTGAGGAGAGTTGTTGAAGAATACGAATTTGAATATTTTCTCTATTCCAGGCTCTTAATAAATGCAACTCATTTAGAGAAATTTGAAAAAAAAAAACTCAAAATCAAGAGCCGGGAATAGACAAACATTGATGAGAACAAATGGGAAAGAAACTTTAGTAAATAATTGAGAAATGGAAATAGGAAATTGAGGAAAACTTGAGGAGAGTTGTTGAAGAGTACGAATTTGAATATTTTCTCTATTCCAGGATGTTGAATACAAGTCATTTAGAGAAATTTGAAAAGAAAACCCAAATTCAAGAGCCAGGAATTGACAAACCTTGAGGATAATAAGTGTGAAAGAAACTTTAATAATAATTTATTGAGAAATGGACATAGGAAATTGAGGAAAACTCGAGGAGATTTGCTGAATAGTACGAATTCAAATATTTTCTCTATTCCAGGCTCTTGAATGCAATTAATTTAGAGAAATTTTAAAAGAAAACCCAAATTCAAGAGCCAGAAATAAACAAATACCTATTGAGGAGAACAAATGGGGAAGAAAGCTTTAACAATAATTGAGAAATGGTAATAGGAAATTGTGGAGAACTTGAGGAGAGTTGTTGAAGAGTATGAATTTGAATATTTTCTCTATTCCAGGCTCTTGAATACAACTTATTTAGAGAAATTCGAAAAGAAAACCCTAATTCAAGAGCCAGGAATAGACAAATATTGAGGAGAACAAATAATAGGGAAGAAACTTTATTAATAATTGAGAAATGGAAACAGGAAATTGAGGAAAACTTGAGAAGAGTTGTTGAAGAATACGAATTTGAATATTTTCTCTATTCCAGGCTCTTAAATGCAACTCATTCAGAGAAATTTGAAAAAAAAAAACCCAAATTCAAGAGCCGGGAATAGACAAACATTGATGAGAACAAATGGGAAAGAAACTTTAGTAAATAATTGAGGAATGGAAATAGGAAATTGAGGAAAACTTGAGGAGAGTTGTTGAAGGAAGAGTACGAATTTGAATATTTTCTCTATTCCAGGATGTTGAATACAACTCATTTAGAGAAATTTGAAAAGAAAACCCTAATTCAAGAGCCAGGAATAGACAAATATTGAGGAGAACAAATAATATAGGGAAGAAACTTTATTAATAATTGAGAAATGGAAACAGGAAATTGAGGAAAACTTAAGGAGAGTTGTTGAAGAATACGAATTTGAATATTTTCTCTATTCCAGGCTCTTGAATGCAACTCATTTAGAGAAATTTGAAAAAAAAACCCAAATTCAAGAGCCGGGAATAGACAAACATTGATGAGAACAAATGGGAAAGAAACTTTAGTAAATAATTGAGGAATGGAAATAGGAAATTGAAAAAAACTCAAGGAGAATTGTTGAAGTGTACAAAGAATATTTTCTCTATTCCACGCTCTTGAGTGCAACTCATTTAAAGAAATTTGAAAAGAAAACCCAGATTCAAGAGCCAGAACTAGACAAAGATTGAGAAGAACAAATGAGAAAGAAACTTTAATAATAATTGAGAAATGGACATAGAAATTGGTAGCTACTTTATGATTTAGATTTTAGAAAATTTTAAAAGGTCATAACTTTTTTCCTATTACAAATAGAAAGTTGAAATTTTCAGTGATTTTTATTCTAGTAGAGGACTACAATCCTTGGAAAATTCGGCTCATTTGGACTTATAGTTCCTGAGATAAAATCGTGTTAAGCAATTTGGGGTGATTTAACAATTTTTCAATTTTTCTGAGTGCCTTTTTTCATAAATTCCTGCTATAAATCTCAGAATAATTTAGTGTATGGAGTTTGGGGGATTCCAAAGAACCATTAAGTCACAAAATATCAACAGAAAAAAAATTAGAATTTCATCGTTTTAGTACTGAGGTAGTACCTTATGATTTAGATTTTGGAAACTTTGAAAGGTCATAACTTTTTTACTATTATAGATAGAAAGCTGAAATTTTCAGCGATTCTTATCCTAGTAGAGGACTACAATCCCTGAAAATTTCAGCTCATTTGGACTTATAGTTCTAGAAATAAAATTGTTATTGTCAAAATTGGAATTATCGAACATTAAAAATTTTCCAAAAATGACACTGAGACAGTTTTTGCCTCACAGCTCCGTTAATTTTCATCCGATTTCAATGTAAATAGGCTCTAATTAAAGCTAATTAAATTCTCTACAAACTTGTTAATTAGGATTTTAATTTAGTCTCAATTATTTATTTACTAGTTTATCAGTACAAATTCTTCAAAGTTACGTTACTAATAGTAGAGAAAAGTGAAAAGTTCCTTTCGAGTTGCACTTTTTCTCCCACTGACTTTCTGAAATGGGTTTTTATGTATGCCAACCCTGCAAGATAAACCAACTTCAAAGTGATTGACTTAAGAGATGAGTTCAATTTACAAAACCGATTCTCAAATGCCTGGAATTGATAAAAAGTGCATTTTCAAATAAAAAAATGTCTCAGAATCGATTTCAAAGAGTGACTTCCGATAAAAGTTCAAACTTTCATTGGTTTCAAGTTTAAGAAAATTGAAAAGTTGATCTTTATTATGAATATATTGCCTTTAAGGATGAACTTATAACTATCGAAAACGGTTTCCAATAATGCCTGAAATCGATATTATTAAAATAGAAATCCCACAAAAATGACTCAAATTATGGAGAGTTACTTTAGAGATGAGTTCAAATAACAAAATCGATTTTCAAGGGACTGGAATAATTGATAAAAAGAACATTTTCAAATACTGAAATGTTTAGATTGATAGAATTCATAATTGATTTATAAGAAATAAACTATTTATTAAAAGTTTCCTCTCTTGTTCTAGAACTCCATTCACTCATACCAAGAGACTGACACGCCCTGCCAAATCTGGATTCGGTTTTTCAGTGGTCTGGACTCATCCGCCTCGCATCGAACGCGTAGAAAAAGGCCTGCCAGCCGAGAAGGCCGGAATTCTACCCGGTGACTACATAATCTTTGTAGACAAACACAATGTCGTGATGACGCCCGAAATTGATATACTCAATCTAATTAGGTATGAGCTTATTTTCTTGACATTGAATTAATGAAATCAATATTTTGTTCCTTTATAGATCTTACGGAAGTCAATTAACTTTAGAAATATTCAGAAGAAATCCATCCAGAAACGGTTCAGTGCCCAGCGTTAATCAAAAATCTACTACAATAGTCACTCCTAGTTCGATTCGCACTGATAGCAATGTGAATATCCCGAGTAGTGCTACAGCCGCTACAGCCGCTACAGCCTTGCGTAGACCGTCTACAGTTTGTTCAACGAATACAGCTTCTGTAGATTATAGAAGGCGGAAATTGAACTTGCCACAAGTGACCTTCAGTTCGGAGGTTGGTGACGGATTAATTGTCTAAAATTTTGTTTCCTATGAATATGATTTTTCGGCCAGTACCTTTCCTAAAACTATTTATTTTGTATATATATTTTTTTGTAGGCTTATTTAGTAGTATTTCTCAGTGCTAGTTTTTATGTTTATGTTTATTATTTATTTTGTTTCAATGATTATTTTATTTAAAATACACGTTTTTGCATTTTTTTTTTTTTTTTTTTTAATTATAATTTTAATGTATAGAAGCCTATTACAAATCCTGAGGAGAGCAGAAAACGAACAATTTACCAATTAATAGGCAAAGAACAACAATACGCTACTGCTTTACAGTTTGCCGTCACAAGATTCGTTTCGGCTTTGGCTGAACGAAAAGATCTTATAACCCCTGCAGAGCATAAGACTCTATTTCAAAATTCAGAAGAGGTATAAATAAAAGTCCCCCAAAAAAAGGCTTTGTTGTAAATCCGTAAATATTTACAGATTCTTCGTATAACCGAAGACATTTTAGACCATTTAGTACACGAAGATGGCGAAATGGACACCAACATGTTAACCAAAATTTATAGGTGTAAACTAAGGGAAATTAATACTGCTTACAAAAAATATTGCGCGGGTATTAAAAAAGCCGATTGCGTTTTGGCTGATAAAATGAAAAATTGCAATTCGGATTTTGTAAGGTAAGAATTTTCCCGATCAGAGATCAGCTATAAACCAAATTATCCTGGTAGATTTGTTCAATGTCCAACAATTCCTAGAAGAAGGCCAGATTTAACATCATTTATTCATAAACCCTTAGAGCATTATAGAGAAGTTTTAAAAATTTTAATGGGCATACAGGGACACACTCCACCAAAACATGAAGATTTTCCTGTGATAAATCAAATTGTGCACGAAATGCAGGTACAAACTTGATCAATGAATCAATTCCTCTATAATAATTATAAATTCATTAAAGGTTACGTATAGAGAAATCACATCTGAAGGTGGTTTAATGGAACCTTGCGGTGAAGGCAGACCATTATTGTCTGTACAAGATTTAGAAAATAGATTAGTTTTTACCAAGTGCAAGGTAAATACTTTGTTTGTTGAGTTAGTTTTATCCATTAGGTGAATTTTTTTTAGCCTTTTGTATTAAACAAACCAGGTCGCCAATGGATTTTCGGTGGCGACCTGAGCAGGGTAGAAGGCCGAAACGTCCGTCAATACTGGACATTACTTTTCAGTGATCTCTTATTGTTTGCCAAAGCTTCCAGAGATAGAGTCTTATTTATAACAGAAGATCCTCTACCTTTATGCCACATAACAGACATGTATTTTAATATTAGAAAAAAAGGTATTCTTAACACGCACCAATATTGATAAATTGCACCAATGAGTTTTAGATACTGAATTTAGGATATCAATAAATCCGGATGCCAAAAATGATCAGGCGACAAGTCCTACGATTCATTGCGGTCCGGATTTGTCTAGGACTCCTAAGAAAAATTCTAGTAAAAAAACTGTGATCCTGCGCGCGCCTTCGACTGAACTCAAAGCGGTGTGGCAAAACTTATTACAGAGACAAATGTAAGTACTTAAATAGATTTTCATTATTAAATAGCTGAAATAATTGAAATAGAATTATTGGTGATCATAGGCGCCGGAACCATGGGGGCAATGGGGGCTTGAGCCCCCGTAGTGAATTTGCTATGGGGGCAGAACCCCCATAGTGATTTTAGTAGGTATTGTATGTAGTGAGTTTTGTGGATGGATAGTTACTGGGTGATCTAAGGTTCATTTCACAAGGGTTTGTACTATCACATCGATAATGTCATTATGTTATTTTTTTTTTAAAATAACAACTGAATACTGAATTTTTTTGAAACTAATTTTCTGACTGTTTTCAACCAATAAAATTCGCTCTGACTGGTTTGTGATTACTGTGCGAGCACACCTCATATATCGTTGAAATCGGTTTGAAAAGAACTAACAAATAAGCACACAATATACATGGTGTTCCATTTGAAAAAATATAACTTCGCTCTGCTACACTTTTTTGAAGCACTCTGTATGCTTGATACTGACTTAGTTTAAAACTTTTAACAATTTCTTGAAACTTTTGTATGTGACACTTTTGTCAAAAACGTCAAATAATAAAGTTAGGAGGGGGTGACATTTATAATAGATCACCCTGTACAAAAATATTCAGTTCCCAATTAGGTATTTATTTTTGTGTGTTTTTGCTATACCTACTTTAACAAAGAATTTGGATATTTTGTTGTGTAGTATTTGTATTTAAAGCTGTATTTTCAAAAACTCGGATTGGGATTATTGGTAGCGTTCAGCAGCACTCAATGTTGAGTGCTGGTGAACGCGACCATAATATTTTTTTCGTTTTTTTTTTTATATGTTTATATCACATGAATATAAATATCATGAATACACTGGCTATTTTTACCTAGTATATCATGGAAAATTTATATACTGACCCGATCATCCTACTAGACACATACACACAACAAAAAAAGTTTTGCACCGCTCTGTAATGTAACTGCCAAATACTCATGGACAAATGACAATATTGTTATCTTCAACTATGGAATGTGTCCAGTACATTCACTAAAAAAGGTTTAGGAATCTGAAATTGTTTACTATTTTTTTTATTGATAATTAGTAATTAGCCTCTAGGCGGTTAAGGCGAATCGAAGCGGTACAGCCAAAGCCAAGTATTGCCGAGCTGCCGAAGATTCACGAATTTCAATAATATTCAGGGAGGATCATCAATGACCCAGCGTGGCTATCCTGCAGTGAAATGTATATCAGTCAACTGGTCCCATTTAAGCCTATGTGTCTAGTAGCCTACTGGTCCTATCTATAATTTTACTTGTCTTTTTTTCAGAGCCCGAGCCCCCATAGTAATTTTGAAGTTCCGGCGCCTATGTTGGTGATCTACTTTGAAAAATTACATAAAAATCATTCGTCATTTTGTCGAAAATATTTTTATTTTTTGAATGTGTTCACCATATTGCATAGAAGAACCTTAGGCTTTGCCAAAGATAATCCTACTTTGAAAAATTCAATGGGATTCAGTGAAAAACTACAATAAGAATTGTTATTGTTGAAATGTCCATATTTTCACAAAAACCCTTTTTTCAATGAATCGCAATTATTAGTTTTACCCCCTTAAACCACCCTCAAAGAAATTTTCAAGTCAAGTGAAGTTCCCCAAACGATGTATTTTGGTACTGCCTTTAATTTCCAGTACCTACTGTTTGTGTCCGATATTAGGGTGGAAATGTTCATATTTTCACATAAAACCTTTTTTCGACGAATCGCAATTATTATTTATACCCCCTTAAGCAATTTGGGGTGATTTATCAATTTTTCAATTTTTCTGAGCGCATTTTTTTATAGATTTCGGCTTCAAATCTGAGAATAATTTAGTGTATGGAATTTGAGGTATGCTGATTGACCATTAAGATACAAAATCTCGACAAAAAAAAAATTGAAATTTCATCGTTCTAGTTATGATTTAGATTTTGGAAAACTTTGAAAGATCATAACTTTTTTTCTATTGTAGTTAGAAAGCTGAAATATTCACTGAATTTTATCCCAATCAAGGGACTACAATCCCTGAAAATTTCAGCTCATTTGCACTTATAGTTCCTGAGATAAAATTGTGTTAAGCATTTTGGGGTGATTTATCAATTTTTCAATTTTTCTTAGTGCATTTTTTTATAGATTTCGGCTTCAAATCTGAGAATAATTTAGTGTATGAAGTTTGGGGTATGTTGGTTGACCATTAGGATACAAAATATCGACAAAAAAGAATTTGAAATTTCATCGTTTTAGTAAGAAGGTACCTACCTTATGATTTAGATTTTGGAAAACTTTGAAAGATCATAACTTTTTTTTTAACATAGATAGAAAGCTGAAACTTTCACTGAATTTTATCCCAATAAAGGGACTACAATCCCTGAAAATTTCAGCTCATTTGCACTTATAGTTCCTGAGATAAATTAATGTTAAGCAATTTGGGGTCATTTATCAATTTTTCAATTTTTCTGAGTGCCTTTTTTCATAGATTTCGGCTCCAAATCTGAGAATAATTTACTGTAAGGAGTTTGGGGTATGTTGGTTGACCATAAGGATACAAAATATCGACAAAAAAATATTGACATTTCATCGTTTTAGTAAGAAGGTACCTACCCTATGATTTAGAGTTTGGAAAACTTTGAAAGGTCATAACTTTTTTTCTATTGTAGATAGAAAGCTGAAATATTCACTGAATTTTATCCCAATCAAGGGACTACAATCCCTGAAAATTTCAGCTCATTTGCGCTTATAGTTCCTGAGATAAAATAATGTTAAGCAATTTGGGGTCATTTATCAATTTTTCAATTTTTCTGAGTGCCTTTTTTCATAGATTTCGGCTTCAAATCTGAGAATAATTTAGTGTAAGGAGTTTGGGGTATGTTGGTTGACCATTAGGATACAAAATCTCGACAAAAAAAAAAATTGAAATTTCATCGTTTTAGTAAGAAGGTACCTACCTAATGATTTAGATTTTCGAAAACTTTGAAAGATCATAACTTTTTTTCTATTATAGATAGAAAGCTGAAACTTTCACTGAATTTTATCCCAATAAAGGGACTACAATCCCTGAAAATTTCAGCTCATTTGCACTTATAGTTCCTGAGATAAAATTGTGTTAAGCATTTTGGGGTGATTTATCAATTTTTCAATTTTTCTGAGTGCATTTTTTTATAGATTTCGGCTTCAAATCTGAGAATAATTTAGTGTATGGAGTTTGGGGTATGTTGGTTGACCATTAGGATACAAAATCTCGACAAAAAAAAATTTGAAATTTCATCGTTTTAGTAAGAAGGTACCTACCTTATGATTTAGATTTTGGAAAACTTTGAAAGATCATAACTTTTTTTCTATTATAGATAGAAAGCTGGAACTTTCACTGAATTTTATCCCAATCAAGGGACTACAATCCCTGAAAATTTCAGCTCATTTGCACTTAAAGTTCCTGAGATAAAATCGCGATAAACCACCTCCAAAGTAATTTGCAAGTCAAGTGAGGTTCTCTAAATGATGTATTTTGGTACTGCCTATAATTTCCAGTACCGTTTGTGCCTGAGACTAGGGTGGAAATATCCATATTTTCATAAAAACCTTTTTTTTTATGAATCGCAATTATTAGTTTTACCCCCTTAAAACATCCTCAAAGTAATTTGCAAGTCAAGTGAGATTCCCCAAACGGTGTAGGTATATTGGTACTGCCTTTAACTTCCAGTACCATTTGTACCCGAGAAAACTCAATGCGATTGGATGAAAAATTCCAAAGTTACAAGACTTCTTAAGAATCCTTCTTGTTTTTTGTGGAAAAATATGGTAAACCTAGTATATCTTGATTAATTCCTCAAAAACTACAACAGATGAAAATTTAGGATTTTGAGGAATTGTTATTGAGGCTTTGAAGCAGGACATGCCGAAAATTCAATGCGATTGAATGAAAAATACCAAGGTTACAAAACTTCTTAAGAATTCCTATTGTTTTGTGAGGCAAAATATGTTAAACATCTATATCTTGAATAATTTCTCCAAAACTACAACAGATGATAACGTAAGATTTTCAGGAATTGCTATTGAGGCTTTGAAGCAGGACATACTAAAAATTAAATGCGATTGACAAAAAAAAATACCAATGTTACAAGACTTCTTAAGAAAACTTCTTATTTTGTGAGGCAAAATATGTTAAACACCTATATCTTGAATAATTTCTCCAAAGCTACAACAGATGATAACGTAAGGTTTTCAGGAATTGCTATTGAGGCTTTGAAGTAGGACATACTGAAAATTCAATGCGATTGAAAGAGAAATACCAAAGTTACAAGACTTCTTAAGAATTCTTCTTATTTTGTGAGGCAAAATATGTAAAACATCTATATCTTGAATAATACTATACAACAGATGAAAATTAAAGATTTTGAAGAACTGCTATTGAGGTTGTAGGATTATCTTTGGCTTTGCATAAAAGTTAATTTTTACGTTGTCTTACAACTAGTGGACCACCATAATAGTTTTCTCCTCAGTTTTCTCTAGAATTCTATAGCATTTTTCTATTCTACAATAATTCTAGGCTATTAGAGTTTCCAAAAACACATAGCAAATAAAGGTAACCAACTTAGTTTAGACTAGAATAAATCCTCTTATTCCCTTCACGCAGCTTCCAAATAAACTCAGGCACGGACAACAGCGCGCTCAGTTCACCAATAGAATCGCCCATGGACTTGGTGCCGATCAACTCGTCGGTAGGCACTCTACAATCGATGGAAACGAACTCGTTCAGACGGCAGGTGCGTCTACTACATGGCAACGTCGCCTTTTATGACACTGCTCCTCCCTCGGCAACACTGTTAAATCAAAACACTGAATCCCCAAATCCTAAACCACCACTGACCAGATCTTGTCGCGTCAGGATATCTTCGGACGAAGTTGATAGTTTGTTTGGTTCTCCAACACATAATATGTACGAACTTTGTTTGCCTATCATTTCCAATAATTCTACAACTAAATTATGTTCTGGTACTTCAAGTACGTTTGATTCTTCCTCGTTCTATAATCGAACTCCTAGCGATGACGTGTTTGCGGAAGAAGTTCCCAAGTTGTCGCTGGGTGAAGCGCCTAGTCCCAGTGCTATTTTAACTCCAAGCACCGAAATTTCAGATGATGATAGCGATGATGATAGAGTTTTTGATTTGAGGGACGATATTTGGGACATAAGTCAATTCGATTATGATTTGAGTAGTTTGAATATCGACGGGATGTCGCAGATTAGTGGCAGAACTCCTCGTATTGATGATTTTTGATTCGCTTTAAATGGTTGTGGAAAGTACAAGCTTCTTGTGTTTTTTCTTATTTTAAATCTTCAAGGGTCAAGACTGCCTTCCTACCACCTAAATTCCATAATTACGAATCCTTCCCAAATACAATTTTAGTGAATTAATTGTTAACTTTTTTATAATTATTATTATTAAATTAGGTTGCAATGGCACAGAATTATTTAATAGATTTGACAACAAAATGCTCAAAAATATAAGCAATATTGATGTTTGAGAGAGTTCTGAGCCAATGCCCGTAGATTAATTTTTTTACATTAGAAGAGAAAATTTTATCTATTTATTGATTGATTGTTACAGAGTCTGTAATATATTTGCAAATAAACGCTTTAAGTTTTTAACAAGCTTTTTAATTACAACAATTTGTTTTTTGTTTATAGTTTAGAATTTTTGATTTTTAATAATAGATTCAGCCCAATTAGTTTAGTCATTGGTAGCTAGAAAATTTGATCCATCAAGAATTCCTATAGGGTATCCGGAAATGAGCACTTATTCCTTCTTTCCCAGTTCCGAGCATTCTTTAGGATTAAAGGTGAGTACCTCAAAAGCTCATTTCTGATACCCAAATACCGAACTAAAATACACTTTTAATAGACAACATTTTTTAGCCTAGCCAAACTCTTGACAATGATTGTCGTCGCAACAACAACCGGAATGATGATGTCAAGAAGCAGCTTGAAACGTTGATTGAGCACAAGTGCAAGCAAATGGGCAAGAGCAGTTTTAATGGCAAATGTAACGCTATTCATTTGGAACAGTGGATGAAAGGACAGTTGGACGGTGCGGATCCTGGTAGTCCTGTTGTTGAACAAATCGATGAAGAATGGACCGAGGAGATGTTGAGGAGGAGAAGCGAAGAATTACAATTGATTGATCACAAAGGTTGTATTTGAATTGATGACAATCAATCAATGATGAAAATTCTTGTTGTAGGAAATATGACTCAAGATTCAAAAATAGGTTGTGAAGAATTAGTAATAAGCGATCACGATGAGCAAAGTCCGTCCAAAAGTACCACGACTGAAAGTCAGGTGACTGTGAGATCGAGCCCGATAGTACCGGAAACCGTCCCCGTATGCCGTCAGTGCCACAAAAATTGCCTTTCTAACGTTTTAGCTAATAGCAACAAACATGAACATCATCAAGACTGCAGCGTTAATCAAACAAACAACAATCCAATTAGTAGTACTGGTAGTACTGAGACGAATAATATTAAGGAAGATGATAATGATTGGCAAACATTTCTTTTGCTTGGAGTTTGCGCCAATCCAGTAGCCAATTTGATTAAGTACGATCCGTTCAAGGCTCCACAAACACCTGAAAACCAAGATAAAAGTACTTCTTGTATGTGTATAGCTAATGGAAATTGTAACAAATCAATGGTAAAATGTTTCTATAATAAATAAACATATTAGTTTCCAATAAATTCTTTTTAGCTCAACAAGTTTGATCAAGACATCTCTCCGGATGATTCTCCACAAACCGAAGAACCTCCGTATCATTCTTTGAGCAGCTCAGCACAAACTCTGAGAAGATATGGAACGGTGGCCAGTTTGGAACGGTGCGGATCAGAACACGATAACGGAACAGAAAATCATTATTCATCAGAAGGTAATCTTTTTGTCTTATGAATGAATTGGTACTGAAATAATATATTTTAGAAAGTGATATTGAAGATGATGATTATCTGGGTATCGATAATGAAGCTTTCAATCATTCTTCTATTATGAGTTGGACTGCAAGGGCTGGTAGTTACGTGGCTGAGAAGATGTCGTTTTTTGAAAAGCTTGGTGAAGATTATAGGAGTGGTGGTGGATTTTTTGATCGGTATGTAACAATTTCATTTTCATACATAGACTTTTGTTACTGATAAATTAGTGAATGAATAATTGGAAACAGGTTTGTGGAGAATTCAATTGGCTTTAATTAGAGCCTAATTACATTAAAATGGGATAAAAATTAACGGAGTTGTGAGGCAAAAACTTTCTCAGCGTCATTTTTCGAAAATTTCCAATGTTTGATAAATACATTTTTGAAGCTTCTCAGTGCCTTTTTTCATAGATTTTGGCTTCAAATCTCAGAATAATTTAGTGTAAGTATGGAGTTTGAGAGGTCTTGAATAATCATTTAGATACAAAATCTCAACGTAAGAAAATTTGAAATTTTATTATTTTAGTACCTATATAGCTATCTTATGATTTAGATTTTTGTAAATTTTGAAAAATTAAGTACCTATAACTTTTTTTCTACTAGAGAGAGAAAGCTGAAATTTTCAGCGATTCTTATCCCAGTAGAGGACTACAATCCCTGAAAATTTCAGCTCATTTGGATTTATAGTTCCAGAAAGAAAATCGTGTTAAACAATTTGGGGTGATTTATCAATTTTTCAATTTTTCCGAGTCCTTTTTCCATAGATTTCGGTTTCAAATCTCAGAATAATTTATTGTATGGAGTTTAAGGGCCAATCCCGAATGTAGACACAAAATCTAAAATTTGAAATTTCATCATTTTAGTATAGTCTTTTTAAAGTCATCAGTTGAAACAAGGTAAAGGTAAATCACAACTGGTGATTGAATACTTTAATAAAAAATGCATTGCCACTAGTCAGCCACCAGTTGTAATTTATTTTTACCTTGTTTCAATAATTGGCTTTACAAAGATTACCTACTATTTATTATAGGTAGCTTCATGATTTTGATTTTCAAAACCTTTGAAGACCCATAACTTTTTCCATATATTATAGATGGAAAAATGAAATTTTCAGTTATTATTATTCTAGTAGAGAACTACAATCCCTGAGAATGTATCGATAAGGATCTTGGACATACATATTTTTTCTATCCCAGGCTCTTGCATTTTGATCTACGATAAATTCAAGAGCCGAGAATAAACAATAATTGAGAAATAGAGACAAAAGATTTAAGCAGAAAAGTTGAGATTTAACCACAATCTAACAACGTTAAAATATTTACTAATTTGCAGTGATATTATTGCTAGTTGTAGCGAATGACGTCATGTTCGGCGGGTGTTTGAAATGCTGCCGGATTCATATTTTTGATAAAAAGTTAACGACAACATTGGAATAAACGTGAACAGGTTGTTTACTTATCTTTGACGCCATATTGAATTTAAACTAGCGCCATCTAACAGCAAACTACTAGAGGGCATTTTTCTATTAAAAATGTATTTTTTTAATAAAAGGGTATTATTTTGATGAAAAATAAGTTCAGTTTCATGCAAAGCCAATGTTTTTGAATAAAATGATACCAAAAAAATGGCCTACCTTGCGATTTCAATAGCCCCTCCCAGCACAGGATGTTTTTCGACCAGAAACCCATAATGTTTCTTATTGGCCAGTGTCGAGTGTGCTAATATTGAATGCAGAACCACCCTGAAGAACACTTTAAAACACTTTTCCGCATAAAAATCGCCCGAAAAACCACACATTTTTGCAGAAAACCGAGGAGCAAAATCAACACGTGGCATAAAATTGTCAACAAAATGGGGGCCAGTTAGGGGATTTACAAAGCTCACTTGACTCGCTCGGACATGCGCAAAGCAAATCAACAAGAAAAACGCTAATATCAATATAATTTTCAATGTAGAATAAATATTAAAAATATAATTAACTAATTCCTGGCATTGTTTCAATTTTTGGCTCATTTAAAAGAGAAATATATGCCCTACGATACTGGCGCCATCTAACCACAAACTTGCAAACTACCACGTTAAAATTAATTTAAAACTTAAGGTATTTATTTCAATGTTGCCAGATCTCACGATTATTCGTAAGATTACACGATTTTGGTCAGAATACCACGATCTCACGAATGAGGTAGCAATTCTTACCAAGTCTCTCTGTAGTACAAATCAGTGATTAAATACATGTGATATTAGATCGAAATAAAAATCTACTATACAATATTTCCTTATGTTACGCTGCTCTTTGTACAAAAATTAACTCACAAGCACAAGCACAGCCTGAATCGCAAGCAATCCATCGGGGTCTGCTGGTGACGTCACCATTATCAGCTGTTGGTAGTGGTGACATCACTCGCAGACCTGCTGGCAGCTCGAGAATTAGCGAACGTACGCCTTATGAACAATCGTGCCGATAATGAACGTGAGAACGAGGCTCAGCTTCCAGAAAACCCTGTCAAAAAACAGAAAATACAAGGATACAATAAGAGATTTAATACTAAAATTTTTATTTCTTATGAATGTAAAATCATGCGTTTACTTTATCAAAAATCTATAAAAGAACATTGTTGTGCTACATTTTCTTATAATATTAAGCAATTTTCAGTCTCACGATTTTTTTTCCCGATTCTCACGAAACTTTTTTATTTCATCTGGCAATTTTACGCTAATTTCAATAAAAAAAACAACGCAAAGGGGATGCCTACAACGTTACATGTTTTCGTTTCATGTAACTCGCATGAAAGGAACTTTACCCTACTTGGGAGATATTTTCTAATTTTTATACAGGGGGATACTTAAAAAACTTACAATAGCTACATATTAGTCCGCCGTTTTTAATCTGACACCACAGCTTCACTTTCTGTATGAAGAAGAGGGGGGTGAAGCATATGGCAAAAACAGGTCTGGACGTCAGGTGACCATTGGCGTTCTAACGTAGGGAGCCACCAGCTCACATTCCTTCGGAGTATCAGATTGAAGTCGACGGACTTATATCTATATCTGAGGGATCAAAACTTGTGTCACCCTGTATATGTGTGTGCCTTGTGCCCTATAGCCCCTATAGCCCTCATAGACCAAAATAAATAGGTACTATTTAGGCAAATATAAACATACAAAAACTTACCAGAATTATTCAACCAAAACATCTGAACTGTCCCATCATAATTTGTAGAATGAGAATGAAACAATCATTTTGTTTTTCCTATAGCAACAAATCATTTTATGCTTATAGCCTTATAAACATTGATTTGGCAACACTGAAGGACTGAGGTGTGGTGACAGTTGAAGGATGTAAAAGGCCAAGGAGAATACACACACGAAGGGCGAATTCTCATGAGCGTAAGTTGACATTTCTGGCGTAATCACGTGATAAAATGGTTGGGTTTTATTGGTAAAATATTCGCCATGTTGGATATTTACCAATCAAATTACACCATATTATCACGTGATTACGCCAGAAATGTCAACTTACGCTCATGAGAATTCGCCCTAAGGGCGAATCCCCACGGGCGTAATTAGCGCAATCGGCATGAACGTCAATTCTACACCAATTTTGGCGTAACATCCCGCATGGGCCGCAGGTAGTGCATCAGTAAGACCGGCTTCTCATGAGCGTAAAATTGACATAACTGGCGCAAATGCTAAATACGTGAATTTTGGCGCAACATTCACATATAGAGTGGAGAATTTACGCCGCCGCGTATGTCAAAATTATATTTTTTTCTTAAATTTTGAAATATTTCTTTGAATTTTGATTGTACAAATTTGCATTTGTTTTTGCTTTAGTTCCAAATAGTTACAAATATGAACAGTAAATTACAAAAATCAAGAAAACGAAACGGTTGCAGCCCTAACCTCCAAAAACGCTGAATTTTCACGTGAAAAGTTGAACTTTGCTCAACTTTTGGCGTATCTGCAGCAGAGTGTCAGCGTATCCAATATGGCGGGATTTTGGCCAGTCAGAATTCTGCATTCAGGTACGCTGTCACGCCATAAATGTCAAATTACGCTCATGAGAAGCCGCCCTGATTCAAAACCAAAACAGAAACAATTTTCCAACCTCTTAAATATGTCTCGTTTATTTTTTGCCAGGCTTGTAATTCAAATTTACTACGTTGATGTAGTTTTTCTTTTGGTTTTCTGTGATTATTCTTAGCAACGAAGATTTTGGGTACGACCTATATTTTCGAAAAATCAGAGATTCTTGCAGGGTGCTAGTGATAACTTGGTTACAAAAATAAACGTCAAAACTCCGCCACGATTACGCCGAAAAGTTCAGCAAAACCTAACTTTTTGCCGTAGCGGCAGCGTAATGTCAAAAATTCAAGGTGGCTGTGCTGCCGCCAATGAAATCGCACAAATTAAATCACGTGATTAGTTACGCTCATCCCGTCAATTACGCCCGTGGGGATTCGCCCTAAGGAGTGCTTATCGGCCTCGTTTTTGGTAATCGCCGCCATATTGGTTTTCAACTGTTTTCAACCATTGCTGAAGTCATAACTAAGTCGTCAGCTGTTTAAACAGCCTATGTCAAGGCGAGAAACGCCATGCTGCTTACGTCATAACTGGTTGTTTGGCATGGGTGGGTAAGGGGGGATTTGTTTCACACAGGCCTTATGAGGATAGGCCATCCTGTTTGTAGTAGTAGTGTGTATCATCCTTGGTAAAAGGCAGCGTCAACGGTGGCGGGTTCTGTCGTTGTCTTGAAGCAAGGATTATACACACCTACAGGATTGCTTATCGGCCTCGTTTTTGATCATATTGGTGTGTTACTATTTTCGACCTCATAACTCACTAACTCAGTCGTCAGCTGCTTAAACAGCCTACGTTAAGGCGAGAATAACATGCTGCAAACGTCACAACTGGTGATTTGGTTGGGGGAGGTGGAATTTGTTCCACAAGCCAGACCTCATGAGGATAGGCGTCATTGGGATATGCTATCCTGTAGTAGTATTGTGTATCATCCTTGCATTTTTAGATGATTTCATAGAGGACTCGATCCTCCTTCAATTAATATACAGTGAGCACTTGAGCACGTAAAGGAAAGGTTGGAATAAAATCCATAAAATATACAAGGTCAGTTTGACTTTTATCTTAAAAAAAAAAAACGGATTTTACATACTATCCTTGCGTTCGGTATTTTGCTCAAAGAGCAGAGCTTGCTGAGCGGAGCCGTAATCACGTGATCAGCGAGCGAACAGGGGTGCGATTTTCGAAACCATTCGAGTACATTTTGTACACGAAATTGGACTGCTCCCCATTTAATTTACATTGCTGTCAGTCAAATTTCGTGTACGAAATGTACTCGAATGGTTTCGAAAATCGCACCCCAGAGCAGTTGAGTGCCCTAAATTTTAATAAACGAACGCGAATGAGCCTGCACCGAGTACACTTTTTGAATTATCGAACGGTAAATTCAAGCTCGGAGAGCTCAGATTAAAATATCGAACGCACAGTATGTATACAGGGTGACCCAAAAACATATTATGACAGTTAACTTTATTTTTAAATGAAAGCACGAATTTTTTATTTCATTTCCAAATTGTTAAGTTAAATTTTGAAACTATTTTATACTAGGATAAAAAATTGTGTACCAATTTTTTTTATTATATTGTGTCACTTATTTCTACTCATTGAATTTATTATTTGTGTTTTTTGTGAATCTTTATTTACCTTAGTTTATCTGCGTCCTTTTCTTATTCACTGAATTTGGTACAGCATTGTTTTTTATTTTATTATTCCAGGCTTTCGATTGGTTAGATGGAGCCTACTCGAACACAGGGAATAATAGAGTAACAAAAAATGATAACTTTAAAAAATTCAATGAGTAAGGGAGGGACACAAATAAAGTAGGAAATAATAATTTGTGCGTATTTCCTTGAGTAAACTTGTAATGTTTGTGTCTCACCAATCAAGAGCCTGGAATAATAAAAATATTAAATAATGATGTAAGAAATTCAATCAGTAAGAAAGAGACACAGATAAAGTGGGATGAGAAAAATTATGACTCGAATTTTCATTATTCTCAGTGTTTGAGTGGACTTTTAATACTTCTAGAATGTTCCAGAACTCTTGAAGCTAAGTTAGAACACTTTAGAACTTTGATATGCCATTTAGAACGTTCCAAAACACTTTCCGACAGAATTTCAGGTCCTTGGGACTAAATATAATTTTTTTTTCTATTAGAGTTAGAAACCTGAAATTTTGAGCGATTTTTATTCCAGGAGAGGACTACAATCCCTGGAAATTTCAGCTCATTTGGACTTATAGCTCCAGAAATAAGATCGTGTTAAGCCATTTGGGGTGATTTATCAATTTTTCTGAGTGCCTGTTCTCATAAGATCCGGCTCCAAATCTCAGAATAATTTAGTGTATGGAGTTTGGGGGATCCCAAAAAATCACTAGGACAAAAAAAATCTCAATAAAAAAAAATTTCATGGTAGCTACCTTATGATTTAGATTTTGGAAAACTTTGAAAGGTCATAACTTTTTTTCTATTGAAGATGGAAAGCTGAAATTTTCAGTGATTCTTATCCCAGTAGAGGACTACAATTCCTGAAAATTTCAGCTGATTTGGACTTATAGTTCCAGAAATAAAATCGTGTTAAGCAATTTGGGGTGTTTTATCAATTTTTCAATTTTTCTGAGTGCCTTTTTTCATGGAATTCGGCTTTAAATCTCAGAATAATTCAATGTATGGAGTTTGGGGGGTATTGAATTGGCTTTAATTAGAGCTTATTCACATTGAAATCGAATGAAAATTAACGGAGATGTGGAGTAAAAACTGTCATTTTTGGAAAATTTTGAATGTTTGATAAATTCAATTTTGAAGCTTCTCAGCTGTACAACTGTTAAAACCCAATTAGAATCCTAATTCATGAGTTCCCTGTAAATTATTCCTCCATTTTTCTTACAGTTTCAAGCCGAAATCACTGACATAAGACAATAAATCGATTTGTTATAGATACCTCAAGTCTTCTGATGGCCAAGTCAATGGCGAAGATCCTCAAGAAGAGGAAACTTCCGGAGCAACTTCCGGCGAAGAAGTTTGGGGCACTCCAACTAGCGGAGGCGAACTGGACTCTCCGAATTCGCCAAACTACGACGGAAAACTTTCGGTTAGAGCACTAAAAACGTTTTTTGAAGGACTGGGTAGTGCATGATGACCAAACACATCAGACTTTATAGTTTTGCATGAACACTATATTTATAGTTATAGTTTATTTTATATTAGCAGTGTGTTATTGGACTTTAGTGAATTAATGGTGGTATTGCATGACTGCATCAGTCTATTGAAGATATTGCAAATGTTGAAATTCTCTTTAGCCCAACAACGGTTCATATTGTTCAGACAATCCAGATGACACCGAAATAATGATGGACGAACTTCTAATGGCACCACCCATAACAGGAGCAGTTTTAAGAGGCCTATTACCTCGAAGAACACTAGAACCACTAATCGAAGAAGATTTCTCAGACAGCACCTCATCTTCATCTTCCTCAGACCCGATATCGCCTCAATCTAACTCTTCGGAACAGGTAAATATCTATAACGTTCCATTGATTCCATTACGTGGCAATTTTTCTTGACTCTGATCTTGCACTGCGGGCAGGACAGGAGAAGTGGAAGTGCTGCTGACACATCTTCTCGGGATGTTGTCGAACGCGCACGAAACGAACGCATAATTGTCGAACCAAAGCGCAGCAGCAGCAGCAGCAGCTCGACGTCACCGGAAGAGAATGCGCAACACTCGAGCCGCGCATCGATTTGTCACACGACGACGAGCCAAAGTCTGGTGTCGTCCGAGTGGGAGGAGGCGCAGCAGAGGGTTTGCGAAAACGGAGAGGGTAAGAATTTTGTTGGTTGTCTTATGGACTAGGTTGATTTGAACAAATTTTCATTAGGATGTTGCATAGAAGTAAGCGATTTACAAACAGCGGCGACTATGCCGAGGTCAGAGAGCTACAGGAAAATAGTGGAAGCTGCAGAGGACGCGATATCGACAACAATGGAACCAGATAGCAACCGGATGATAGCTGCGTCGTCTTCGGACACGGTTCTGTTGTTCGACAGGTTCCGTCCAGCAGCTCGGTTTGTAAATATTGAACGGGTACCAAGAACTAGGAGTATTAGAATGTATGTAAATATTTCTATAGTCAAGTCAAAAGGAATTTATTTCTATTAATTTTGTTTAGTTTTGAATTTTTCAATGTTAGAAGAACAGAGCGTCGGATTTACGAGAGATATCCAGAAAATAGGCACCTGATGAAAACTTTTAGTCAAGAAAATGAAAAATCCGATCCAGATTACAGTCCAAGCAAAATTCCTGTGAAAGATAACAAGGTACTCTTACTTATTTTGAATCATTTTTATAAATTTAAGTTGCTTATTATAGGATAACAGAAATGGTAGATTTTGGAGACAGCTGAGTAGAAGACGTACGATAGATAAAACGACAAATGCGGCCTAGTATCTAGTGTTTTTGATGGACGATATTTATTTTCTAGCATTAATTAACATTTTTTCCCAAAAATAATCTTCATATAGTGAAATACTTGGCAAATTAGTCAGGTAAATTATTTGTTTGGAAGCCTAAACCGAAACATCTAAAAATACTTGCAGTGTATTTTTAACTTATATTCACTAGAGTTAGATGATTTTACCATAATTGTTAAATAATTGTCAATAATATAGCTCTAATAATATGGTGCTTGAAAAAATGTGTCAAGATAAATGTAAATTTTTAAACAATTTGTTAAGTATATGAGGTGTTCAATTAGATGTTGAAATGTTGTTTCTTATAGCCAATTATTTTAATCTTTTTAAGGCATTATTCCACAATTTTCTATTACCCAATAATATGGTGCCTTTTTAATAAAATTATGTAGGCATTTATGTATAAGAATCTCAAATTATACGATGGAGGAAGTACATTTTAAAGTTACATTGTCAAAGCTTTTAGATTTAAATTATAAAACAATGAAGTTTGGAATATTTCTATTTTCAAAGTCCTACTCATTGTGATTTTTTGTAAAATTTAGTTGAAAATAAACAAAAACGTAAAAGATTTTTAGTATTTCTGTTTTCCATTAGGTTTTATTAGTTTCTGGAATGGGCTCTTCTTAAAAAAACATATGTTGGCAGAGGAATTTATCTCAGAAAAGCAGCAAATATTGAAAATCTCCATACACGTACATAATAATTAGTTTTTAACTCTGATCGGTATTGATGACGTTTTTATTTATCAATCAAATTTTTTGAAGATTTGTTCTCAAAGTAAACTTGATGGAAAAATTCCTTGAAATCTAATCAAGATTGATTGACTCTCCTCTTTTTGTCCAGAAAACTTCATAGTTTTCCCTTGGACAGTTTTCCTGAAAGTTTTGAGTAGCTTAGATTTCTGGAAGTATGTAGGTAGGTATTTTTGAAAAAAATTCAAATTCTACAAGGATTTTTTTTAAAATTTCTAATTCTATATCTGAGTGTGTTTGAAAAAAAGACTTTACTTATGAATTCCTGAAAGTTTCCAGTTGTTCAGATTCCTGGAAGTATTTTTGGAAAAATTCCAAATTTGATTTGTTAAGAATTTTACAAGGATTTTTTTTTTTTTAATTTCAGAATTCTATACCTGAGACTTAGATTGACTTCAGATTTGTTCTGTTTGAAGAAAAAACTTCAATTATGAATGTTTGAAAGTTTCAAGTTGCTCAGTTTCCTGGAAGAATTTTTGAAAAAATTCCAAAGTTGAATTTTACAAGGAATTTTCCAAAAAATTCATAATTCTATTTCTGAGGCTCAGATTGGCTTCAAATTTGTTGTATTTGGAGAAAATACTTTAATTATGAATTCCTAAAAGTTTTAACTTGCTCAGATTCCTGGAAGTGTTTTCAAAAAAATTCCAAAGTTGATTTGTTAAAAATTTTACAAGGAATTTTTCAAAAAATTCATAATTCTCTTTCTGAGGCTCAGATTGGCTTCAGATTTGTTGTATTTGAAGAAAAGACTTCAATTATGAATTCTTGAAAGTTTCAAATTACTCAGATTCCTGGAAGTATTTTTGAAAAAATTCCAAAGTTGATTTGTTAAGAATTTTACAAGGATTGTTCTAAAAATTCATTATTCCATTTCTGAGGCTCAGACTGACTTCAGATTTGTTGTATTTAAAGAAAATACTTTAATTATGAATTCTTGAAAGTTTCAAATTGCTCAAATTCTTGTAAGTATTTTTGAAAAAAATTCCACAGTTGATTTGTTGAGAATCTTACAAGGATTTTTAGAAAAATTCATAATTCTATATTTGAGGCTCAGGTTGACTTCAGATTTGTTGTATGTGAAGAAAAGACCTCAATTATAAATTCCTGGAAGTTTCAAATTACTCAGAGTCCTGGAAGCATTTTTGAAAAAATTCCAAAGTTGATTTGTTGAGAATTTTACGAGGATTTTTCAAAAAATTCATAATTCTATATCTGTAACTCGGATTGACTTCAGATTTTTTGTATTTGAAGAAAATATTTCAAATGTGAATTTTTGAAAGTTTCATATTGCTCAGATTTCTGGAAATATTTTTGAAAAAATTCCAAAGTTGATTTGTTAAGAATTTTACAAGGATTTTTTTTAAAAAAATCATTATTCTATTTTTGAGGCTCAGATTGACTTCAGATTTGTTGCATTTGAAGAACAGACTTCAATTATGAATTCCTGCAAGTTTCAGTGATTCATTCATTAATAAATTCTTCAAGAATATTTCTGACCTGGAAAATGAGTGCGTTATTAAAGTAATGAATGCAGATTCGAACCTGGAAATGAGTGTAAAGGTAATTTCATGAGTCACTTTTGATTCTGATCTGAGTAAATGACTACTAGTCTCCTGATTCAAAAATTTTCTATATTTTTGGGAGTTTGATTCTTGTCTTTGATTCAATTCCCCCGTAATTTGAACACTAGTTTGTACTTATAAAAGTGCAACCAATAGAGAAAAACCGCATCCCAGATTCTATAATAATACCCATGACCCATTTCAATTCGGAATGGGATTCACCTCAGACAAGGTATTGCAGATTATCGCCAAAAATGTTACCATCTCCCACAATAATAACCCGCACATATTTCAGGATTCCTACTAATTATAGCTTCGCCGCAATGCAGGAATGGACTTTCCAAAAATCAACCAACTTCAAATAAACATAAAACTATAAGATTCGTAGAAGCTTTGCTATAATTGTTGAGGTTGCATTTTTCTGGATACGATCCTGAATAAGTAGTCCAGGGACCGCAAAAAGCGTCCCACATCTCGAGACCGGGATCAGTTTCAGGCCGAACGTCGTCGCAGCGCCATCTGCTATTCAATAAAACTCTGTCCTCTGTTTACCTCAGGCTCCACTTCTGGTTTTTACTGGCAGAAGGCAAGTCACCACAGCACATTAAACACAATGGTAAGTACCATAGTACCTTTGAATTTTTTTTTTTTTTGATGCTTATATGTATTTGGTGGTGTTTTTTTTTTGTGTGGCGCACCCTAGCGGGTTTTGGCAAAGTGCCCAAAATGCAAAAAAAAAACTAATGATGCGAAAAATCCGAAATAGTGTTTCAATTCCGGCGTACGTGTATAACACTCAATTAAAGAAAAAATTAAAATTATTGAATCTTAAGCCAAAAAAATTTGCATTAAATTTGTCCTCATTATAAATATAATTTCATTGCCAAGAATTATTTCCGTGCCGGTCACTCGTTTTCTAATTATCAACCACACCGCGTGTCTTGTTGTACTTTTCCAAAATGGCAAGTTACGTTGAAACTGAAACCGAAACCGATTTGGATCGTAAAGTGTCAGTGGCGGATATCGGAGACGATTTAAGGGATTTTATTAGAAGAGTAGCAGCCGAAGTAGAGGAATCGTCTGCGATTACTTATACGAGTCCTCAAGTACCACTTCCGAAAATAGTTGGAAGTGATGCCCCGTTCGTTAAAGCGGTCAAATATTGGAAAAGAAAAGTCTTCAAAACTAAAATAGTACTACTGCCTTAGGACTTTTAAATAATTGTTTTATTTAAAAGTTTTATTTGATTTTTTTTTTTTAGATTCTTATAGGGTCTGGAGGTACTTGAAATGCAATTTTTTTTGGTGGTATATGTCGATTTTTGTGTCTGTCCAAAAAAAATGTGATTGTCTCTTGTAATAGTACCTTGGTGCACCCCATATGTGTTTTTGTTTTTTGTTATTTTTGTGTAGATTTATTTCTATTTTTTGTCTGGTACATTTTGATGATTTTTTTTTGCGGAGAAATTTACTTTAAATTCATATATTTTTATCTACTTGTTATATGTAAAGATCACTTGATAATACTTAGTTTAAATTTTTATTCACTTATTTTGTTTTTATAACTTTTTTTGTATTTTCTTGAGAGTTTTATAAAACAATTATTTAGATAATCCTTCTTAAAGTGTACCAGACACTCATTTTTTTTGTCTTGATTGCGGTTAGATCAGATTTTTTGGGATTTTACATAATATTTTCAGTTTGGCTTTAGGCCAACAGCCAAATGTGTTTTTCGTAATAATTGTGTCAGTTTTCATTGAGCCCACGCAATTTTGTATTTTTAGATTTTTGTATATCTTTATATACTGATCTGACAAGCAATTTGAATAATTTTTTTTCTATTATTATGCTTTATTGTGACGTCCTTTTTTACAAAAGCAATGTTTTTCTTCTTGTAATGATAATTTCTAAAAGAAAATGTACCCTTCTTTACTTAGAGGTTTAAAAACTAATTGATTTTTTTTTTTTGATTTTTTTAGGCAGACCTTAGCGCTAGAGATGTTGAAAGTAAGTAAATGTTTATATGTAATATTTACCTAAAATATTAAATATACCGTTATTTCAAAATTTGAGACTAACTTTGAAGCCTAATATCTCGAAAAAAATTTGAGATAAATGATTCAATTCTACTTATCTTGGAGAGTATTTCATTCCAGTCTAATTGTTAATTTCAACCAAGCCCTAAGACTTCGTTTTCGAGATAATCGGCTTTAAAGATTTTCCAAAATTTGAGACAAAGTTTCAACTTTGAGGCTCAACATCTTGAAAACTATTCGTAATAAATGATCCAAGCTTATTTTATCTTAATTCTGATTAAAATTATATAAATATGCATCAGAATTTATAGAATATTAATTGAATTACGAGCGATTTTGTGAAGCAATGTTGGATAATCAAAATGTTCCGGGGCTAAACTTTATATACCTAGCTGTTTTTACTGGGGATGGTTATAAGGAAACTCAAATAGAGCTAAAAATTGTGACAAAGACACCTCTGACAATTAGTCAATTACATAGAGAAACCCCCAATAACATCAAAAATTGAAAAAACCGATGAGAAGATTGGATTCAAAAAGATTAATAAAGAAAGGGTGACTGATAATGAAAAGGCTGAAACAAATAGATAATCTAAAGACCTTGAAAAAGTCAGTGGTGTAACGTTAATAATTAAACTACAAACATGAAAAATTGCACTGAAATGTCCAGTTACTTATCATTATTGTCCATTACCAATCAACTGATCTGTTTGCAGGATAGAAAAAACTATAAAAATATTCACACATTATTCTCAAAATTTCATACATTATCCAGAAAAATACGATATTTCCAACCTCACTATATCCAGAGCGAGATAAAATTACAGCACCATACAGTTCATATAAGGTTACCTTTAGAATTCGAATGAGCTGCGACTTAAAAATAGATCCCGACGGAAAGAAAAGTAGTGGCCGAAGTTTAAAAATAACTTGGCAAATGAGATTGTTTTTTGTTTGGATGCGTCACAGTAACCCAGATTGTTTCAGCTGTGAAATTCTACATAATAATCATGAAGATTTGGAATAATTGTCTTTGAATGTCAAAACCTACCTAATTAGGATTTCAAAGAAAATAGTACCAGATTGTAAAACTTTTCATGGAAATATATACGGATTTGTTGAAGCTTTATAGATGTAGGCTATAGATAAATCTTCGTTTACAATCTTTAATTGTGACGTTTTTTTTTGAAATTTCCACAATAAGACAGAAAGATATTTGTTTGGGATAGTTGATCAAGAACAATAATGTCTACAGATCCCAAGTTCCAATGATAACAGAACTTTTGAAAATTATTCAATGAGGTTCATTCTTTGAAAACTCTTTTTCTTATTAACTCTTTTCCTATAAAGTTCTTTCCTTTAGCGTCAATATGAAATATTTTCCAATCTCTTGCTGTGTTTTTTCAATAATGTGTTTTGCAGTCATTTATAATGGATAACCCTCCATTTACAAACTTTCATTTCATTGTTGTGACGTATTTTCAAACTTCCACAATAAGAAAGAAAAATGTTTGTTTGGGATAGAGCTGATCAAAGACACTAATGTCTACAGATTCCAAGTTCCAATATGATAACAAAACTCTTGAAAATTCTTCAATGAGGTTCATTCTTTGAAAACTCTTTTCCTTATGAACTCTTTTCTTGAAAAGTTCTCTCCTTTAGTATCAATATGAAATCTTGCTGTGTTTTTTTCAATAACATACCGATTTTGCAGTCATTTATAATGGATAACCCTTCATTAACAAACTTTCATTTTACTGTTGTGACGTATTTTCAAGCTTCCACAATAAGACAGTAAAATGTTTGTTTGGGATAGTTGATCAAAGACACTAATGTCTACAGATTCCAAGTTCCAATGATAGCAAAACTCTTGAAAATTCTTCAATGAGGTTCATTCTTTGAAAACTCTTTTCTTTATGAACTCTTTTCTTGAAAAGTTCTCTCCTTTAGCATCAATATGAAATCTTGCTGTGTTTTTTTCAATAACATACCGATTTTGCAGTCATTTATAATGGATAACCCTTCATTAACAAACTTTCATTTTACTGTTGTGACGTATTTTCAAGCTTCCACAATAAGACAGTAAGATGTTTGTTTGGGATAGTTGATCAAAGACACTAATGTCTACAGATTCGAAGTTCCAATGATAGCAAAACTCTTGAAAATTCTTCAATGAGGTTCATTCTTTGAAAACTCTTTTCTTTATGAACTCTTTTCTTGAAAAGTTCTCTCCTTTAGCATCAATATGAAATCTTGCTGTGTTTTTTTCAATAACATACCGATTTTGCAGTCATTTATAATGGATAACCCTTCATTAACAAACTTTCATTTCACTGTTGTGACGTATTTTCAAGCTTCCACAATAAGACAGTAAGATGTTTGTTTGGGATAGTTGATCAAAGACACTAATGTCTACAGATTCCAAGTTCCAATGATAGCAAAACTCTTGAAAATTCTTCAATGAGGTTCATTCTTTGAAAACTCTTTTCCTTATGAACTCTTTTCTTGAAAAGTTCTCTCCTTTAGCATCAATATGAAATCTTGCTGTGTTTTTTCAATAACATGTTTTCCAGTCATCTATAATGGATAACCCTCCATTTACAAACTTTCATTTTACTGTTGTGACGTATTTTCAAACTTCCACAATAAGACAGTAAGATGTTTGTTTGGGATAGTTGATCAAAGACACTAATGTCTACAGATTCCAAGTTCCAATGATAACAAAACTCTTGAAAATTCTTCAATGAGGTTCATTCTTTGAAAACTCTTTTTCTTATGAACTCTTTTCCTATAAAGTTCTTTCCTTTAGCGTCAATATGAAATATTTTCCAATCTCTTGCTGTGTTTTTTCAATAATGTGTTTTGCAGTCATCTATAATGGATAACCCTCCATTTACAAACTTTAATTTCATTGTTGTGACGTATTTTCAAACTTCCACCATAAGAAAGAAAAATGTTTGTTTGGGATAGAGCTGATCAAGGACACTAATGTCTACAGATTCAAAGTTCCAATATGATAACAAAACTCTTGAAAATTCTTCAATGAGGTTCATTCTTTGAAAACGCTTTTCCTTATGAACTCTTTTCTTGAAAAGTTCTCTCCTTTAGTATCAATATGAAATCTTGCTGTGTTTTTTTCAATAACATACCGATTTTGCAGTCATTTATAATGGATAACCCTTCATTAACAAACTTTCATTTTACTGTTGTGACGTATTTTCAAGCTTCCACAATAAGACAGTAAGATGTTTGTTTGGGATAGTTGATCAAAGACACTAATGTCTACAGATTCCAAGTTCCAATGATAACAAAACTCTTGAAAATTCTTCAATGAGGTTCATTCTTTGAAAACTCTTTTCCTTATGAACTCTTTTCTTGAAAAGTTCTCTCCTTTAGTATCAATATGAAATCTTGCTGTGTTTTTTTCAATAACATACCGATTTTGCAGTCATTTATAATGGATAACCCTTCATTAACAAACTTTCATTTTACTGTTGTGACGTATTTTCAAGCTTCCACAATAAGACAGTAAGATGTTTGTTTGGGATAGTTGATCAAAGACACTAATGTCTACAGATTCCAAGTTCCAATGATAACAAAACTCTTGAAAATTCTTCAATGAGGTTCATTCTTTGAAAACTCTTTTCTTTATGAACTCTTTTCTTGAAAAGTTCTCTCCTTTAGCATCAATATGAAATCTTGCTGTGTTTTTTCAATAACATGTTTTACAGTCATTTATAATGGATAACTCTTTATTTACAAACTTTCATTTTACTGCTGTTATACGTGTATTTTCAAACAATTCAAACTTCCACAATAAGACAGAAAGATGTTTGCTTGGGATAGTTGATCAATGACATAATAATGTCTACAGATTCCAGGTTCCAATAATAGGAAAACTTTTGAAAATTCTTTTATGAGGTTCATTCCTTGCATGGGCACCGGAATTTTTAAATTATTATGGGGGCTCGGGCTTCAAAAATTACCAGAAGTAGAATTATTAATTTATACAGATAGGACTAGACTACTAGACACATAGGCTAAATGGGACCAGTTGACAAATAACAATTTCACTGCAGGATCGCCACACTGGATCACTGATCGTTCCTGTGTAATATTAAAATTCGTGCATTTTCGGCAGCTCGGCTTCGGCAGTACCATTGCAGTAGCCAGGATTTTGTCTTGAGGAGAAATTTTGGCCTTTTTACGGTATTTTTGGAACTTTTAATAGTGGGGACAAGCGGGGACGCGGCCAATATTCAAAAAAACGAGAAAAAAAATAAACTGAACCCATTTAGGAGATATTTGGAATCCCCTTTAGACCGCCATGACAAAAAAATTAAAAACAGCCTTTATTTTTATTTTTTTAAAATTTCAAAGCATCCTAGCTGGAAAACGAAGAGCCTGAGAGAAAAGCCTTAAATATAAAATTTGTAGATCTCATTGAGAACTACAAAAAAGATTATTAGAGTTATCCCTCCACGGGGAACCGTTTTTGAGAAAATCTACTTTAAATCTTTCAATACATTTTCAGAAAAATTTCAACTTTGACGGCTCATATCTCGGAGACAGAAACAACCTAGAAAATCAATAAAAACAATTTTGTAGGTTTTTCGAAGGAAACCTGATTCAAGACAATCTATTAGAAATTACCAAAGTTATAAGCAAAAAAGTGGCGCCATGTCGGGTCCCCAGGATCAAAATCACTTTTATTTTTTTCCGGGTTTAGGAAGCGTCAGAGCGAAAAACACCAAGAGACATTTTCGATGTATTTTTGGTTCCTCTATCTGGCGGTATTTTCTATTTTTCAAAATTCCTAAAAGTAAATGCAGAGCGTGTATGCACCATTACACGTCCTTTCCCAAAATTGGGGGAAGAGGAGCTAAAACCCCTCCGGAAGGTCGGAGAGGGCTGAAACTTAGAATATCAATTTTTCTGAACCCCTTTCACCTATATTCATGTGATGTTAACATACCTATCTTGAAAACAAACGGAAAGGAAATAATAATCCAACGACTTATTGAACATACAGGTTCTACTATACTATACTATATAGGTACCTACTATACTACAGAACAAAATATTCACAAACTGTTTGTTAAAGTAGGTATAGCAAATCATATAGTAAGTAGATCAAGGACAATAATGTTTACATATTCCCAGTTCCAATGATAATAAAACTTTTGAAAATTCTTCTATGAGGTTCATTCTTTGAAAACTCGTTTTTTTATGAACTCTTTTCTCTCCTTTAGAATCAATATGAAATCTTTTCCAAGCAGTGAAATTGTAAATAAGTACTGTATTATACCTATTCTTCATTTCTAGGGGCCAACTTTGTATTCTCCATCTACGATTTCGATGGAAGCGGTACCGTCGACGCTGTCAACTTAGGCGACATGCTCCGCGCCCTAAACTTGAACCCCACCTTGGCAACCATCGAGAAACTTGGTGGTACCAAAAAGAAGAGTAAGTTATTGACAAACTATTTGATATTCCAGGCTAACAACTAGTTTTTGTAGATGAAAAGAAAATGAAAGTAGACGAATTCCTTCCAATTTTCAGTCAAGTTAAGAAAGACAAAGAACAAGGTAACTTCGACGACTTCCTCGAGTGTCTGAAACTCTACGACAAAGAAGAAAACGGTACAATGATGGCTGCTGAACTTTCACACACTCTTCTTTCTCTTGGTAAGAATTTTTTTGTTTATAAAAATGATTAATTAATCTGATTTTTATTTTTATAGGCGAAAGGTTATCAGACATTGAAACTGATACAGTTATAGCTGACTGCATGGACAAAGAGGATGATGAAGGATTCATCCCTTACGAACGTAAGTAAAATTTAGTTTAGTAAAATTTTCCACACACACACACACAATTCCTGGTAGATATTTTATACCTATAGACGATTTTTCTAATATATTTCAGCATTCCTTAAAAAGATGATGGCGTAAGAAGCTATATTTTTAGTTATTTTTGTATTTTAAGTAAGTAGTGATTGTTTTTTTCGACGGTTGTAGCTGGACGCTTCTATATAATGCTTTTTCTAAGGCTTGTTTACATGCTCCACTAATGCTGATTATACATGGTGACAATTTGAAAACTTTTAATGCAAATATCTCTGATAGTAAAAAAGTTAGAGAATCGTAATTTGGTACAAATATTATACAGGTATAAAGGAAACTAGAACCACATTATTATGGTTTTAATGAACTCTTGAACTTCATGCTCCCCAACACCAATATTTTAAATGGCCCTTTTGTGATAACCAAAATTAAATATTTTTTGAAAAAATGTTTGTGCAGGTAGGGTCACTCCTTCATAACCAAAATATGGTGCCCCTACCTGGATAACATTTGCACCAAATTACCTTTTTTCGGAGATATTCACATTGAAAGTTTTCAAATTGACACCCTAACATTTCTCCTTTTCAGACAATCTATTTGCAAATAAACCTAGTATACACACATCTAGGCTCAAAAAATCCTTATTCAATTAAACTAATTTCTATAAATTTCCAGTTACCTGAACTTGTGCTGCATATTGGCCAATTGACAGTTTAAAAATGGTAATTACCTACCAGAAGACCAACATCATATAGAGCTGAGGGACAAAACCAGGCCGAAAAAATCAAACATCTTGGCACCTTCTCCATCAAATTAATAATCTTATTTTTTTTTTCTTCGTTAAAAATTATTGTCATAATAATATAAGTAAGTTGAAAATACCAAAGTGTGTTTTATTAAAAATCAACATAAATTTTTCACAGATTAATGCTCAAAAAACAATTAGGTTTCTTTTTTTATTTCGTCTTCATCCTGTTCTTTTTTGATCGATCTCCTTTTCCTGAAAAAATTCGCAATTCGGCCACTCACGTTCCACTTTTTCTTCTTCAAAGTTGTAGCTTCTCTTTTCAAGGTACGACATTTGGCAGTTAAAGCTGCTTTGGCTTTGGAAGTTGTAGCTCTCGGGAGAGTCATCAGTCTTTTTGCAATTGAAGTTGTGCCTGTTTCTTCTTTACCATCATCCAATTTGATTTCAATGATATCAGATTGATTTATTTTTATTGTGGAGTCAGATTGGCTGCTATTTAGTTCAGTTTCCAAATCTTTTGTTTGGGTTCTGTTCAATCTATCACATTGAACTAAATTTTCTACAGTGGAAGATTGTTCATTGGATTTTTTTGAGTTGCTGTTCAATCCTATATCATTGTTTGATTGCGCATGATTTTTGTTCAATTCAATTTCAATCATGTTGGAAGATGTTAGCAAATCTTGTCCATCAGATTCAACCAAATTTTCTTTAGGGGACAATAGTTTTTTGTTACTTTGGACAACCAATTCACAAGATGTAATCAAATCTTGTTCATTCAATTCATCTAAATTTTGTATAGGTGATAATGCTTGTTTGTCCAATCGACAACAAACTAAATCTTGTTCATTGGATATGTCTGATTCAAATTGCTCTTTAATGATTCCAGAAGATGACTCTGTGTCAGATTCATTATCGCTGTTGGTATCGAATGGATTCAGAATGTCCGCAGAATCATTTTTTGGCAAATCAACTTCTTCTGGAGATATTGGAGTTTTGATTTTGTGTTGGACATCTGATAATTGGATGCAGTCCAGATCAATTGCCTAAATGAAGAGAATAATTAAATCATTGATGGAAAAAGTAATAATATATGCAATCACCTGTATTAATTTTTCTTGTAGCTCTTCTGCTTTTCTCTCCTGTTCTTGTATAGTCGTTTTGCTTTCAGACATCATCATTTTTTGCAAAATTTGCTTGGAATTCCTTACCAAGTCGGTTAGGCGGGTTTTCTTTTCCACTTGTGGAAAATAGCAGCTGATTTTCTTTTTAATGTCTTCGTCGCTTTTTTGATCACCCGTTCCTGCAAAAGCCAAACGTAAAAAACTACAAAAAACAAACAAAACTTTTACCGAAAAAACATGGTGATTTTTCTCTTGGAGCTGCTACACACGAATTTTCCGAAATGTCCAAAGCATTTTCGATGATATCTTCAACTATGCCTTTGACCATTGAGGTGGAAGGTGGGGAGTGGGTTTTCTCCAAATTTTCCAATTTTCCATCCCCGGTGCCGATTATTTCGCAAGTGAAGGTCGACATTTTATTAATTTCATGTGACAAAAAATGTCGCAAAAATGACAATCGCAACAATTTGACTGGTGCTTGTAGTTTATTGTTTTGACAGATTAAATTATCCAAATTCTGAATGTTTACTAGCCGGAGATCTTCAGGATGATTCGCCGGAAAAGAAAAGGCGAAAATGCAAAATCATAGAATTAGATTCAGTAGTAAAGATGATGTGAGAAGCAAAAAATCGCATTACACAAATGTCAGCAATAGTATTAGTGATAATGTTGAACTGTCACTAGAAGTAGAGCTCGATGATGAGGTGAAAATCACTCAGTTTTATATAAATTAGTTCTCAAGTAAATTTCAGGTTCGTAACATAATTAAAAATCCAGAAAAATGTTTATCGGCACTATTAGACGTTACAGTTATTAAACCTAAAGGCCTGGACCAATACACTAGTAAAACTCAAACTTTAAAAACAAATCAAGTGAAGAAATTAATTGAATCAGTGAAACTTGATGAAGATGACAAAAAAAAGTTGATGCATAAGTTGTTTGGCAGTGAGCAACATACAAAAAAAAAGCCAAAATCTTGTTTGTCATCTAAAAGCAAAACCAAACAATCAAAAGAAACATTGGAACATGGTGATGTTTGTGATTACGTTAATCGAAACCATTTTGCAATGTATAATCAACAAGTGAGAAATTTCCTTATCATTGAACAATTTCTATAAATATTCTTTGCAGCAAAATCCATTACAACTCACAAAGTCCACTATCCAGCAAATCTACGCTGCTCCAAAAATTCGAGCAAACATCCGTGAAATTTTCGAATGTAAAAATAAACACCGAAGAAGAGAGGACCATGGAAAAATGCCTGAACCTTGTCCTTGTCAAAATTGTGCCATTGTTGGCATACTAACCGATTCTCAAAAATTACCATTTTCCAATATTCCTATACCTGCCAACCATGTAGAGGAAAAATTCAATAGGGAAAAGGAGAGTAAGCTGAGGGATTCTTTTGGCCGAAGGAAATCTGTAAGTAAAATTTTTCCACCAACGACCCAAGAATTTGCACAATTTTTAAAATTTTCCTATTAAGTTCTTCACATTGTAAAAAGTCACTTGTCCATTGATAGTTTTTCTGTGAAAAAAAATATAGAAATTCAAAATAACTACTATTATATAACAAAAACCTTGTACCAAGTGACAATGAATGGCCCACCCTTGACAAAAAATCAACTTTTTTAAAAAAAATTATCATGGCGTAGGTAGTCAGCATGAGACTGAAAGGTCAAATATGAATTCAAAATTACCCCCAATTTCTCAGCATTCATACTAATAGCCACCATTATCCATATTGACATTATAACCCAAACTAACCCAAACTAACCCAAACAGTATTACCTGGATTTTCCATGGCAAGAGGTTTGCTTTAAAACAGCTGATCCCACTATTTGCTGTAATGAAATAACACAAGGAATCTTATCTGGAATGGACGCATATATCCCACATACAACTAAACGTAGAGCTAATGCAAAACCTTGGTTCAACAGCCAGTGTCAAACGGCTGTACAGAAAAAACACAGAGCATGTAACCTTTGGAAACGACAACAAACCGCTCAAAACCACACAGAATTTATAGAAGCCAGAAATAGTTGCAAAATTACTATTGACTCCGCTAAAGAAACATACAATCAAAGAATAAAAAACAGGTTGCTGAATTGTCCAAGTAGTTCTAGGTCTTTTTGGTCTCTTGCAAAAGCTGTTGGATCTAACTTCACCAAGTCATCCATGCCACCACTTACAGATAAAAATAATCACTTAGCCACAACATCAGAGGAAAAAGCCAATATGCTTGCCCAAATGTTTTCTTCCAACTCCAACCTAACAGTGCCAAACGGAAAAACTCCACCGTTCATTGAAAGGGTTTCCCATAGTATGCCAGAGGTACCGTTTTGTCACAGAGAAATACGAAAATCCCTAAAAAAGCTGGATACAAACAAAGCAATGGGTCCGGATGGCATTCCCGCAATAGTACTCAAAAATTGCGCCAACGAACTCACCCCAACTTTCGCAAAATTATTCAATTTGTCTTACAGGCAAGAAGTATATCCATCATCATGGAAGTCTGCCGCAGTACAACCCATTCCAAAGAAAGGAAAAAAGACAGATCCGTTAAACTATAGACCAATTGCTCTACTTCCGGTGATATCAAAAGTAATGGAAAGAGTTGTGAACAATCACCTAACCAAGTACTTGGAAAAGTACAAAATTATCAACGATAAGCAATACGGATTTCGAAAATATAGGTCAACTGGCGATTTACTTACATACGTCACTCACTTATGGCAAAAAGCGATTGAGTTGCGGGGTGAAACAAGAACAATTGCCTTAGATATATCTAAAGCATTCGACAAAGTTTGGCATGAAAATCTGCTCAACAAGCTCAAAGCAATGGGATTATCGCCGAAACTTTGCACTTGGTTTGAAAGTTACCTAAAGGACAGATCCATTTATGTTGCACTGGATGGCCAGAACTCCAACTCTTACCAAATAAATGCTGGTGTGCCACAGGGAGCAATCCTTTCGCCAACTCTTTTTCTGATTTACATAAATGACCTCATAGATAAAACAGTAAATCCACTTTATTGCTTTGCAGACGATGGCAATGTAGTCTCCTCACTCATACCACCGACAGGTCTTTCCGCACGTGAATTCCATCATCTTAGACTAACTCAAATATCGCAGATAAATAACGACCTGGAGATAATAGAGGACTGGGGTAACAAAAACCTTGTACAGTTCAACGCGCAGAAAACCCAAGCAGCTCTGTTTTCAAAAAAGACCAGCACCGGTGAGCCAAACATCATGCTATCTGGAAGTGCTGTCACATTACAGAGTCAGTTGAACATCTTGGGGGTTACTGCAGAGACCAACATGTCTTGGCACAGTCACGTGGCAGATATTGCTAAAAGGGCCTCCCAAAAGCTGGGGGTGCTATTTCGTACAAGACATCTGTACACACCAAGCCAATTGCTGACACTCTACAAAGCCCAGATTCGACCAACTATGGAGTACTGCTCACATATATGGAGTGCAGCACCCAAACATACCTTAATGCTTTTGAATACCGTGCAAAAACGAGCTATCAAGCTGATCAATGACCCCGCACTTACTCGTAACTTGGATGGTCTCGAACATCGCAGATCTGTGGGCGATTTATCTCTCTTCTACAGGTACTATCACGGAAAATGCTCTGAAGAGTTGGCACGTATGATTCCACCGAGAGTAGCACCTACCAGGCGAACCCGTCAAACAGACGTTAACCATGAATTTACTGTCAAACTAGAGGCACCAAGAACCTCATTATATCAGAATTCATATCTCTGGAGAACAGCATCGCTGTGGAATAAACTTCCTGCGACGGTTTTCCCTGCAGGTTACAACCTGAACCGTTTCAAGACCAACATACACCGACATTTCCGCGCACTTGCCGCTTCTCGAGCGTGATAGGCATATCCGTAAAAAAAAAAAAAAATATTCTTGATTTCTTACCAAATACTCATAATTTTGCTTTATCGACATTAATGCAAAGTTATTATCACAGAGCCAGATGTATAACTTATTATAATTCACCATTCATAACCTGTTACATTTGGTACAAATCTTTGTCAACAATATACAGCATTGTATCGTCTGCATATAATACCATTTTACTTTTATTCACCACATTACATATATCATTGATATACCTACCTACAGTAAAAACAATAGTGGACTTAGAACAGTTCCCTGTGAGATCCCATACGTTACAGGCTTTTCTCCAGATATGCAATTTTTAAATTTAACAGACTGAACTCTATTAGATAAATATGATGTAAACCAATTCAAAACAGTACCTCCTATTCCTATATTCTTTAATTTATGCAACAATATTTCTCTATTTACAGTTTCAAAATCTAGGAAAACGGCCAACACAACATTATCACATTCAATGGCCTTTATCTACAAGCGTTTGGTTATGACGTTTTTACATAACCATTTTTCTAGTATTTGAGTTACGTCATGAGACTCATAACACAATAAGTGGTGTTATAGACTAGGTTATGAATTCATAACACTAGTGGTGTTATGGACGAGGTTAGGATTCTATAACACAACTATTTTTGGTGATTTGACAAATATCAAAGGTAAACCTGTAAAGGTAAAATGAAGGTAGACAAATATTAATGAACGAAAATGATTGGAAAAATATTCTTATTTTTCGCTTTGTAGATAAAACATTGTACATCACACGTGCATTTAAACATGACTACAGAACTCGTGTGATTAGAACGACTCGGTCTACGACCTCGTCGTTCTAATCCTTCACACTCGTTATTGTAATCATGTTCGTAAACGCACTTGTAATGTGAATAACTATTAAAAAATCGTCAGTTATAATTACAACAACAGATTTACACGAAAACCCGATTGATTACTAACTAATATTTGATGATTGTCACAGTGCCGTTGGAGTTGTTCTTTCACAACCAGTTCGAGTAGTTTTTCATAAACAGGAACAGTATTTATGGACCTAAATTTTTTATGTGTCTTTGTATTGATCACTTTGGGAACAGGTATCACAAGTGATTCTTTCCACGATTCCGGAAACACACCAGTCATGAGAGAAGCATTAATCACTTTCAGTAATCTATAACCAATGACGTAATATGCGTCACCAAGTACCTGCTTGGAAATTCCGCTTTCTCCACCTCTAACGTTCTTCATGCTTCTTAGAATCTGTTTCATTCCACTCATAGAAACTGCTTCAAATCCTCTAAAACATCTTAATGGGTTGCCAGGTATTGGTGCTGTATTGTCAGTATTTTTCTTTGGTAAATTGTCAATTATTTCTGCGGGCTTCTGATGAAAAAGCTGTTGAATTCATTAGCAATCATCAGGTCGTTATCCAAAACTTTGCTGTCAAATATAATCACCTCAGGAATACGGTGGCTTTTTCCAGGAAGTAATAGTTCGAGGTTTTTCCACGGTTCTTTAGGATTATACTTATTTTCATCTATGACACCATGAAAGTATTTTATCTTTTCTATTCTAATTTGGTTGACAACTGCATTCCGTTTGCTTTTAAACTCATTCCATGTTGGGACATCTTTTGTAATGACAGGTCTCTTATACAATGCATCTCGCTCGCGAAATGATGAGGATTTCTCTAATTTCATAAGTAATCTAATGCTGATCGACATAGACATCAGAATAAAATTGTATGCAACTTCTTCATTATTTTAGGTCAGTTTCAAGCACACAGACGAGTTACCTTCTTCGAGCGGCTCGCACGAGCAATGTCAAGCAATTTTCAAGATGCTCACTGCTCGAATTATCGATCTCGAACAAAGGGTCGTGAGACAAGAAGAACGAGCAGTTCCCAAAGATTATTTTAAGCAAATCATTAACAAACTGGTCAATCATTTGTCAAAACTAACACATTATACTGCCGAGGAAAGAAATAGAAACTCAAAATATGTCTCAAATATTAGCAATAATGATAAAAATTACAATAAAGAAGAGAGGAACAATAAAGAATATCCTAGTAGCAGTATAAATAGACAATACACTAATGAAGAAAGAAATAAAAGATCATCATATTCAGATAAAGATAAGCATAATCGTTATAACAAATATCACATTAATCCAGTGTTAATTGACAACATTCCAAAGTTTATGGCTGAAAAAGAATATGAACCTAGCGTAAGTTTTGTAGAAGAACCCACACGAGGAACCACTGATAGTATATGGAAATGGGGCGAAGATATTTGGTCATCAGGCAGAGACCTCAAAAACAAAGTAGTACTTTTGCTTGAAGAAACCTTACAAAACTTAAAAAAAGGTTTAGGCAAAACCCCTAACACTCAAAGAGTTCATAGTGACGATATTCAACTAATTGTTGACGAACTATCGAAAAATCTAGCCAAAACTATTAACAAACCAAAAATGGAAAGAAAGTCTGCAAACCATCTCTTATTTCAAAACGCAAGAGAAACGGTAAGTGATTTATTACAGCCTGTCTTTTCTAAAAATAATTTATTTTAAAAATTAAAGAGCCTGGCATCAATGTGGCTTACGTCAATCCTAAACTAACTCGATGGCCCGAAGACTCGACAGTTTCTTTTAAAATTGAAAGTGATTATGAATCGCAAAGAGGAACTACCAACATGAGTGAAGCAAAGAAAAGACAATGTAAGTAGGTACATAATTTTATTTATGTTTAGTAAATTATTGAATTGTTTTAGATAAAAAAGAATTTTTGAGAGTTTTGCAAAACACCAAAACAACAGACAAGTACAAGCTCTGGCAAAATATCTGGAATCAGGCCTTGGAAAATCGTCAAACCAAAAATGATATCGTAACAATCCAGATACCAGACCCAAAGGATTTGCTGCATCAAAAAATGATCAGTTTGGAATATACCGTAGGCGAACTAGAACGACTGCTGATTCAAAATCATAAATGATAACATTTGTTTGTAATTTTGTCCTGCTATTAAAAATAAAAATGGTTTTTTGTGTATAATATGATTTTTATTTGAGCAATAATTCTTAAAATAAATATATAAAAATAAAAACTAATCTTTGAGTATTTCAAACTCGAAATGCATTTGTAAATCGTCTTGGCTGCTACTGCTCCCGGACTCAAAAGTACCAGAGGGATCCTTCAACCACTCGAAATCGGACATTTGTTTGCCCATTTCCGCAAATTTGCCGGTCGTCCAGTGCTCGTACAAATCCGGCCTGTAACCGAGACTTTTCAGGTGCATAGTTCTGTAGTGTTTTTCTATGAAATTGCTTTCCTCGCAGCGTACCGTACGTTTCAATGTGTCGATGTTTTTCTTGTGTTTTGTTGGATCATTACTAGAAAAACAAATAATTGAATATTTGCTGATTGGTTGGTTGAAGTATTTTTTTACGTTGCAAGTCCCTCCGGGTCATAGTTAAAGACAGATTTTACACCGGGTGCATAGAAACCGTCAATTGTGTCATAGCAACCTTCTGGAACTGCCACTGTAGGTTGCAGGTTGGTCAGGAACTCTGTATCGGGTCCTTGTAGACCTTTACTCACGTCTATCTGGAATCTATCAAAAAATATGTTTAGACTTAAAGAACCTATTTTGTACATTGTCTCATAAATTTGCTTACAGTTTCCGTAATTTTGAACGAATCGACCTGTATTATAGTTTTTCTGAAAGAAGATTAAATTCTCTATATAAATCTTCCAAAAACTGATTTAGTAGCCCTTATGGGTTTTGAGAAATTGAGCTGCAAAGTTAAAATTTTGCCAAAAGACCCTTTTTGGGTCAGTTAAGTTAGCCCCCCCCATAGAAAATTTCTGGATGAAAATTATCCCATAATTTTGCTTTCATTTTGCTCCATTTTGCTCCACTAATTTCAATTTTTGCTCCATTACAGTGGAGAGACTATGTGGCCTATTAGGCCCAGAAATTTGATCATGCTGATTCTGTTCTCCGAGTTTTGCTCCATTTTGCTCCACTATCGGCGACTTTTGCTCCATTACCAGGAGAGACCTACAGAGCTCCCAAGTATCTCTCCCAGCCCCCCCGGTGAAAATTCTGAAATTTGATCATGCTCATTTTGTTCTCCGAATTTTGCTCTATTTTGCTCCACTATCGGCGACTTTTGCTCCATTACCAGGAGAGACCTACAGAGCTCCCAAGTATCTCTCCCAGCCCCCCCGGTGAAAATTCTGAAATTTGATCATGCTCATTTTGTTCTCCGAATTTTGCTCCATTTTGCTCCACTATCGGCGAGTTTTGCTCCATTACCAGGAGAGACCTACAGAGCTCCCAAGAATCTCTTCTAGCCCCCCCTGGTAAAAATTTTTAAATTTGAACATGTTCATTTTGTTCTCCGAGTTTTGCTCCGTTTTGCTCCATTATTGTCGAGTTTTGCTCCATTACCAGGAATGACCTACAGAGCTCCAAAGAATCTCTTCTTGCCCCCAGTGTAAATTTTGAAACTTGAAATTACTCATACCGAGTTTTGCTCCATTTTGCACCATGATCAGCTCGTTTTGCTCCATGACGAGCCGTTTTCGGATGCCACGCTTTGAGCGTTCAGCGCTTTCGAGTTAGTCCGAAGTACTCCGGCTACAATTTTACACATTCGAGCGAACAGAGTTTGGCGCTCTCACTTTCCTCGCCTGTTTCCCCTGATGCGCCAGTAACTGATTTTCAAGCGTTCGAGTGCAAAGCGCATTGAGTATAATGGACGTGAAATGCTCCAGGTGCTTCGCACACTGCACCCGGAAGCGGCTCTGGAATGAACTACACAGCTCCCAGGAATCTCTCCTTGCAACACGTGTGAAAATTTTGGAGTTTCTATATGCGCATTTTGTTCTCCCAGTTTTGCTCCATTTTGCTCCATGATCGGCGAGTTTTGCTCCATTACCTGAAATGACCTACGAGCTCCTAAGAATCTCTCCTAGCCCATACTAGTGAAAATTTTGTTTGATCATATTCATTCTGCTCTCCGAGTTTCGCTCCGTTCTGCTCCATGATCGGTGAGTTCTGCTCCATTACCTGAGCTGCTTTCGGGTGCCACGCTCTGAGCACTCAGGCGCTCTGAAGTTACTCTCATTTTCCTGGAGCAAAACTCGCCGATAGTGGAGCAAAATAGAGCAAAATTCGGAGAACAAAATGAGCATGATCAAATTTCAGAATTTTCACCGGGGGGGCTGGGAGAGATTCTTGCGAGCTCTGTAGGTCTCTCCTGGTAATGGAGCAAAACTCGCCGATAGTGGAGCAAAATAGAGCAAAATTCGGAGAGCAAAATGAGCATGATCAAATTTCAGATATTTCACTGGGGGGGGGGGGGGGGGCTGGGAGAGATACTTGGGAGCTCTGTAGGTCTCTCCTGGTAATGGAGCAAAACTCGCCGATAGTGGAGCAAAATGGAGCAAAACTCGGAAAACAAAATGAGCATGATCAAATTTCAGAATTTTCACCGGGGGAGGCTGGGAGAGATTCTTGGGAGCTCTGTAGGTCTCTCCTGGTAAGGGAGCAAAACTCGCCGATAGTGGAGCAAAATGGAGCAAAATTCGGAGAACAAAATGAACATGATCAAATTTCTGAACTTTCACTGGGGGGGGCTAGCGTTAATTCAGCCCCCCCCCCCCCACTTAACAGGCCACATAGTCTCTCCACTATAATGGAGCAAAAATTGAAATTAGTGGAGCAAAATGGAGCAAAATGAGAGCAAAATTATGGGATAAGCTTTGAGAGCGCCAAACTCTGTTCCCTCGAATGTGTCAAATTGTAGCCGGAGTACTTCGGACTAACTCGAGAGCGCTGAGCACTTAAAGCGTGGCACCCAGAAGCGGCTCGTCATGGAGCAAAACTCGCCGATAGTGGAGCAAAATGGAGCAAAACTCGGAGAACAGAATCAGCATGATCAAATTTCTGGGGGCCTAGCATTAATTCAGCCCCCCTACCTAATAGGCCACATAGTCTCTCCACTGTAATGGAGCAAAAATTGAAGTTAGTGGAGCAAAATGGAGCAAAATGAAAGAAAAATTATGGGATAATTTTCATCCAGAAATTTTCTATGAGGGGGGGGCTAACTTAACTGACCCATTATTTTTAGACTCTAAGAACAATGACTGTATCGTGTGTCAATACTAGAGACTTTGAGTCAAGTTTCTAGAACCCCTCATTAATCAATTCTTAAAACTGGAAAGTCTAGACATAAGATTTTGAAACCTCTCATAACTAAAGGATTTCAAGTTTTTCTTCTGCAAATGACTCAATATTTTATTTATCAATTGTAAATTCAATTAATCAACCAGGAGTATTCTCTATCCAGGTAATGAAAAGATTCTAGTTCGAAAATACTTCAAATTTTGATCACAGTTAATATCAATCCGAACACTGTAATTGTTGAGAGAAGTTTTACGTTTGATATTGATGTTTCTGGAGTCACATACTTACAATAGAATTTAAATCTGGAATTTTTCCAGAAACTTTCATCAAGGCAAATGAACTTTCTGCAAGTAATTCCTGGCAAGATTCTCTTACAATACTATTATAAATCATCACCAAAAACTGGATTTCTACAATCGTTCTACTCTAAATAGATCGAATTTTAACATTGCAAGGCCATTCAGTAGATGATATAGGAGAGACTCCTTCGAAAAACGTTTCAAATGTAGAAGAATTGAGAACCTCCAGATTCAAGAGCACTCTAAGCAAATCACATGATTTCAGAACTGGCTTATTTGAACATTTCAATCAAAATATTAGGCACTAAGGGAAATTCAGCAGATGATTTGGAATCTGGTACTTCTCATCATCAGATGAAGAAGAATCAGACAAAACTTAAAATTCTGAAGGTTTTCGATTCAAAACTCTTGGCTCAAGACTAAAGGCTTATAATTCCAGATTATGGAATGTTCTTCCAAAACTCAATGAGGATGACTAGAAAATCTGAAAGCTCAAGACAATATTGAAGCCTTAAGAGTGAAAACATTGATGTAGAAGCTCAATAGTTTAAAACTCTAGATTCTGAAAACTTTAGACTCGAAATAGGTACTTGGTTATAGAGAAGAATACAGGATAGGATAGACAAGAGAAGGAAATAGAACATTACAAACCAAATTCGATTCAGAGGAATAAAGTTTGCGCCACCTAAAACAGCTGAAATATTGAATGCAAAATGGGTATTGTATTGATCATGTCCAATGTCAAGGATTTTGAATTTTGAAAGTCAGGATTTTCAGGGTAGGTATCTTCAATCTTAGACTAATTTTTACCTTCTATCTGGCATTTGACAATAATTCCAAGGTTCGCTGTAATCGAGATTATCCGGAAAACTGAACTTTTTCTCGACAAGCTTTCCATTCTTAAACAACCCTCTCATTTGATGTCCCATAGGATAAATTATTTGACCTCTGCCGTGAAACTGGCCATTTTTAAAATTACCTTGGTAGATTGCACCTGAAACCAATATTACAAAACATGTCCTAATTCCAAATTAGGCTCACCATGAGGATAATAGTAAGTTCCGTATCCAGAAAACCCTAAAACATCCCAAGTGCCGTCATAGCTGCTTCCCGTTATGAAATGTTGTATAGGTCTTCTGACCTCGAACACTCCAGGATGCACACCAATAAAGGCATCTCCTATAAGGGTGGGTGGTTTTTTGAAGACCGGCTTTTGCTTTTCGAGTCCAGCTTTTATCCAGTCTGGAGTCAACACTTTGTTTGAAACGTTGTTTTCTTTAGTTGATTCCAATGCTGATTCAGTCATGATTTTTGAAGTAAATGAACTTTGTCATTAATTGACAGAAATTGTTAATTAATGCCATTCTAGAAATTACATTTTATAAAGCAATTAATTATTGAATCAAGATGCATGTTATAGCTTATCTATTTTATAATTTGATATAATTAAATGTACATGCCAAAATATTTTTGACCTCGCAATTATTTTCGTATAGGCAAAGTATGTATTTTGCCAAAATCGATTTGCAAAACATGAAACAAATAGCGGTTTTGGTAATTTGGATCGTTTCCTATACACGAGAATTACCAAAATAAATTAACTTGTTGTTGCATCATAAGGTTTTAATTACAATTATTATTTTTTTTTCAATTATATTGTGGTCCTGGCACCTAATCCTGTATGAGAGTAGTCTTTGTTGAATTTTTTGGCACTGGTTTAATCGAAGTACCTCTAGCCGTTGCAGTCATATTATGTTTCTCTGTTGTCCTGTGAGTTTTTTTATAGATACGAAAAGTACGACCGATAGAACATTAACAGGCCAGAATAATTCAGAATCACCTTTCATAAATTCTGACTCCAAATCTCAGAATATTTTAGTGTATGGAATTCGGAGAATCCCAAGTGATCATTAGAACACAAAATCTCAACAAAAAAATATTTGAAATTTCTTCGTTATAGTAAGAAGATAGCTACCTTATGATTTGGTTTTTGGAAAACTTTGGAGGGGCATAACTTTTTTTCTATTATAGATAGAAAGCTGAAATTTTCACTGAATTTTATCTCAATAAAAGGACTACAAACCTTGAAAATTTCAGCTCATTTGCATTTATAGTTCCTGAGATAAAATCGTGTTAAGCAATTTAGGGTGATTTATCAATTTTTCAATTTTTCTGAGTGCCTTTTTTCAGAGATTTCGGCTTCAAATCTGGGAATAACTTGGTGTATGGAGTCCAGGGGATATCAAATAACTATTAGGACACAAAATCTCAACAAAAAAAAAATTAAATTCCATTGTTTTATGATTAAGATTTTGGAAAAGTTTGAAAGGTCACAACTTTTTTTCTATTATAAATAGAAAGCTGAAATTTTCAGCGATTCTTATTCCAGTAGAGGACTTCAATCCCTGAAAATTTCAACTCATTTGAACTTATAGTTCCTGAGATAAAATCGTGTTAAGCAATTTGGGGTGATTTATTAATTTGTCAATTTTTCAGAGTGACTTTTTTCAGAGATTTCGCCTTCAAATCTAGGAATAATTTAGTATATGAAGTTCGGGGGATATCAAATGACCATTAGGACACAAAATCTCAACAAAAAAAAATTGAAATTTCATCGTTTTAGTAAGAAGGTATAGCTATACCTTATGATTTAGATTTTGAAAAAGTTTGAAAGGACACAACTTTTTTTCTATTATAGATAGAAAGCTGAAATTTTCAGCGATTCTTATTGCAGTAGAGGACTTCAATCCCTGAAAATTTCAACTCATTTGAACTTATAGTTCCTGAGATAAAATCGTGTTAAGCAATTTGGGGTGATTTATCAATTTTTCAATTTTTCAGAGTGCCTTTTTTCAGAGATTTTGGCTTCAAATCTAGGAATAACTTGGTGTATGGAGTTCGGGGGATATCAAATGACCACTGAGAAAAATTTGAAATGTCATCGTTTTAGTAAAAAAGTTAAAAGAGGATGTTGCATACAACTGTTATTTTTTAAGATTGTAGAAAAAGACATAAAGACTGAAAATTTCACTCGGATTGTAAAGATGCTACTCTAGTAAACTTCAAAGTTTCTATGACAGTCATTTGTAATGAAGACTTTGAAGACTTGAATTTGTAGAAAGAGAAATCAGGAATATATAGATGTAAGCACTCAGTCTAAAACCTCTTGATTTATAGGAATCCTTTAAGGATTTTCAAGACTTTGAAGATTCTGAGGCCTCACACATGTATTTAAGATTATAAAGTGAAGACCTGAAAAAGATTGTGAGGATTACCAGAACACATCAAGATGCTACAAGTATTTATTTTCTGATGTTGTAGAATGATAAATCCAGACACTCTGTCTTTGCAGACTTATTTCTGCAGATTGCACAATCTTGAAATCATGCAAGCAATTCAAGAGCCGAGAATAGTTCAAATTTTGATTATTAACGGCTCTTGATCTACTGGGTACATATATATTTATGATTTTATAAATAATAGTGTTGCTAATTAGGCTCCAATTAATTATTATAAATAATACCTTTGGTACCAATGCTACTTGCATTGTTTTAAAGGTTACCCTAATTTAGATATTAGGTATTTGTAATTCTAATGTAGATAAACTGAATTTTGTCTGAATAAAGGATTGTTAAAAAAAAAAGATATTCCAGCAAATACTTTGTTGATTTAGGAATTAACAGGATTTTGAAAATTTTGAGGTCTAGAAGATTTATTTTTGGAGATTGTAGAGCCAAGACTCCGAAGAATGAAGATTCTACATAGTCTAAAGTCAAAAGAGTCAGAAGATTGTGAGATTCGACTCTGAAGTGTCTTTGAAGTTTCTAGACTCTGATGATTGTCAAGACGCGACCCTGAATCTCATTTTTTGAATTTGTAGAAGGAAAAATCTAGAATCTGTAGATTTAAGAACTCAATTTTGATGAATTATTTCTGAAAATTGTAAACTAAGGACCTCAAAAGATGAATTGAAACTCTGTGGTTTGTAAAGATGCTACACTGAAGAATTTTGAGAGCTAGGAGTATCAGGAATCAATTGCATTTGTTGATGCATGTTATGATTTAGATTTTGGAAAACTTTGAAAGGTCATAACTTTTTTTCTATTATGAATAGAAAGCTGAAATTTTCAGAGATTTTTATTCCAGTAGGGAAAATTTCAGCTCATTTGAACTTATAGCTCCTGAGATAAAATCGTGTTAAGCAATTTGGGGTGATTTAGCAATTTTTCAATTTTTCTGAGTGCCTTTTTTCATAGATTTCGGCTTCAAATCTTAGAATAAATTAGTGTATGGAGTTTGGGGGATCCCAAATGACCATTAGGACATAAAATTTCAACAAAAAAAAAATTGTAATTTCATCGTTATAGTAAGTATGATTTAGATTTTGGAAAACTTTGAAAGGTAATAACTTTTTCACTATCAAACATATAAAGCTGAAATTTTCAGCGATTCTTATTTCAGTAGAGTACTACAATCCCTGAAAATTTCAACTTATTTGGACTTATAGTTCCTGAGATAAAATCGTGGTAAGCAATTTGAGGTGATTTATCAATTTTTCAATTTTTCTGAGTGCCTGTTTTTGGGGGATTTCAGTGCCTTTTTTCATAGATTTCGGCTTCAAATCTGAGAATAATTTAGTGTATGGAGTTTGGAGGATTTTAAATGACCATTAGGACACAAAATTTCAACAAAAAAAATTTGAAATTTCATCGTTTTAGTAAGAAGAATAGTTCCTGAGATAAAAAAAGAATAGTAAAACGCAATAAAACACTCACAAAAGTGTGAGTAATTAGTCACAAATTGGCAACAATGTAAAATTGTCAGTATAACAGAAGGGTGGTTTAGAGGAAACTGGAAAAAAATGTTTGCTTAGATAAAAAAAAGGGGCGGAGCTCAGGTATACGGATAACAAAGAATTATTTGATTGGCCGAAAAAACTTTTTCCAATAATAATTTGTCATTGGTCGATTGGTTTGTGTTGTATCTCCTACCACTTAGGAGTATTGAATAAATCAAATTTCAATGGAGAGCGTAATTGACATTTTATTTTAAAAAGTGATATATCTCTGACAATGACAATATTTCTAACTAGTACAATATAGGTACCTAACTAAACAGGTAGTAAATGACATTCATAACACTCCTCCCGAGGAAGAAAAAAAAAAAATAATGATATAATTCTAAAGGAACATGAAAACCCATTTACAGATCATTAAAAAAAATATATATATATATAGGTATGTATAGGATACGATGTCCCTAAATCATTGTTTTGTGAAACAGAGAAAATTAAAACATAAATGAATTAAGGAAACAATGAGCTGATAAAAAAAAAGAAGCAAGTATTTAGCTGCGCAACTGATTTACGTGTCTTTTACAAACTCGACCATCGTCCAACTTAATTAGGTAATGTAAATTACCCAACCGCCTAATAATCAAACCAAAAACCCATTTTTCACTGTCAGAATAATTTCTAACCATAATACGAGTATTTAGTTCATAAGTTCTTACATTGCAATAATTCGGAATTTTAGACACATTATCATGGATGCCATTTCCTTCAGGCTTTATTATGTCCAGACGTGATCGAATTTCCCTATTAAAAATTAACGCTGATGGTGATTTGTTAGTTGTAGCGTGTGGCATTTTTCTAAATTGAAGTAAAATTTGGCATAACTCTTTTTCTCGATTTTGTGGTGATGGATAGCTTGTTTAATAGTCTGAACGAATCGTTCTGCTAAACCATTAGTTGCTGGATGATACGGGGCTGTCAATTTTTGTTTAATGCCATTATTTCTTAAAAATTGCTTGAATTCATGTGATAAAAACTGACGGCCATTATCACTGACTATGTATTTCGGTATACCAAATCTAGAAAATATTTCTCTACAAATCCTAATTGTGGTTCTACTTGACATGTCGTGGGTTAAATAAACCTCTGGCCATCTGGAAAAAGCATCAACCAAAATAAAGTACGGCTGTCCACCATAATATGTCATATAATCAATATGCACACGCTCAAAAGGACAGGATGTTTCTTCCCATGAATGAATTGGAACAGAAGGAGGATTATTTTGATTTTTCTTACATTGTAAACATTCATTAACTAACTTTTCTATATCATGATCGATACCTGACCACCAACAGTATCCCCTAGCTAAACTTTTCATCTTGGTTATTCCAAAGTGAGCAGTATGTAGTTCCTCAAGAATTCGTGATTGTAAGAATTTTGGTATAACTACGCGAACCCCTCGAATTAAACAACCTTGTTGAAGTGAGAACTCTATTTGCGGTATACCGAACCGC